CTAAAAAGTTCCAAGACAGACGGACAAGGCTAAATTAAATCGGCTGTTGATGTTGATCTAAAATATATATACTTATTGGGGTCTCCTTCTATAAAAATGTGAATAACTATCTGCAGGCGAGTCGTTCAAAGCTTTACAATCAGCACTACCATTGGCTTCTGCACGACAACTCGGAGTTCTTTGATTTCTATGAGTTCTTCAAGACCAAGAACATATCCGTCGATGCTGATGTTAGCTATGTGAAGCAGCGACATGCGGGCAGCTCGGACGATGTCATCTATACGCTCTACGATGTCTACAGCAATGGCAATCACATTGGCGGGCAGCTAAATATGACCGCCGACTGTGAGCTGGTGTGCAGCCAGGTCGATTGCAGATTGAATAGGTATCTCAGCTCATTGCATATGCGTCCCAAATATAGTAATCGGGAGCAGCTGACGGATGTGGTGCTGCGTGTGGCTACTGTGGTGACGCAGCGACCCATTACCTGGCCGCGGGAGCAGCTGATGCGTTTTCTGCACCAGGTGAACGAGACGCATGTTGATAGCTTGGTACGCTTTGGCTTTCAGTTATCCTTGATACTCAAGGATATGCTGCAGTGTGGGTAAGTGCTTAAGGTTTTCGCCGCTCTAGTTCAGTGTCAGACCACATTTCTATTCTGCCAGCATGAATTTTACATTCAAAGATCGCTGGAGCCTTAGCGACTTCAACGGTGGTTCCGTGGGCGCTGTGGTCGACCAGACAGCCGACATTGGCTCTGCTCCCTGCCTGGCCACAGCGGGCAGATTGCAGCATCTGTCGGCCATTATTGAGACGGGCTACTTTCGCTCCGTTTGCCTATTTAGCACACCCCGCAATGCCGGCATACGTGGCGATGTTTTCCTGCAGCCTTTTAGCGCTCTAGTGTGGTATCTCTTTGGCGGTTTCCTGCTGCTGATTGCCCTGCTACTCTGGCTGGCCTTTTTGATGGAGTCCAAGCGTATGCATAGCCGTTGGCGTTTGCAGTTTGTGCCCTCGCTGCTGAACACCTGCCTGATTAGCTTTGGAGCTGCGTGCATTCAAAGCTCAGCGCTAACGCCACGCTCCACGGGCGGACGATTGGCCTATTTTGCACTGTTCCTGATTAGTTTCATAATGTATAACTATTATACATCTGTGGTCGTCTCCTCGCTGCTGAGTTCGCCCGTTAAATCACAGATCAAGACGATGCAACAGCTGGCAGAGAGCTCGCTGACCGTCGGCCTGGAACCGCAATCCTTTACCAAGAGCTATTTAAATGTTAGTACAAACTAACTATAATATATGAGATATATATATTTATTTATTTAAACTATATTTTATTCATGCTTTATAGTATACGCAACGCCCGGAGATTCATTTGTTTAGCAAACGCAAAATCGAATCACAGTCCAAAAATCCGGAACTCTGGCTGCCCGCGGAGCAGGGCATACTGCGCGTCCGCGACAGACCCGGCTATGTGTTCGTCTTTGAGGCATCCTCCGGCTATGCGTATGTGGAACGCTTCTTCACACAGCAGCAGATCTGTAATCTCAATGAGATACTATTTCGACCCGAACTATTGCTCTACACGCATTTGCATCGCAATTCCAGCTACAAGGAACTCATACGCCTAAAGTAGGTTATATATACATGTGCGATACACCGAATGATATGCTTTATATAATTCTCGCAGATTGCTTCGGGTGCTGGAGACGGGCGTCTATCGCAAGCATCGCACTCAGTGGTTTCGCACCAAGCTGCATTGTTATTCGCAAAACTTTGTAATTACCGTGGGCATGGAATATGTGGCACCGCTCTTCTTCATGCTGATCTGTGGCTATGTTCTGGTGCTGCTGTTGCTGCTGCTGGAGCTCGGCTGGCAGCGTTATGTGCAGCGCGCACATTAAGCCTTATATGTTTGCACCTCGCTTCAACCGCACGCGGAACAAAACGCTTTAAGCGCTTATGCAAAATAATAAAAAAAAATAAAAAAAACACTTTACGTTAACTTTTCGCCTCGTCCAACGACTGTGGAATTATGCAGTGCAGTGCAGCGACCCGTTGTCCCAGCGTTTCCTGTTGTCAGGACCCGTGCAAAATTGCCGCACCGCTCGTTGAGTGGACCACGTTTTTATGTTTTCATGCGATTTTCGTATTTGCATTAAAAAGTTTCCTGTTTGCCGTATTTTGGGCAATGATTTTTTTCGCCCACACTAGTAGTATTTGCATTTTTATGGCCCGCAGCAGAATGGGCCATTGTAGCTTGGCCGTGCGTGTGCCCAGAGATATGCCTAAGCCCACGTATTAAATAGTTATCTGAACTTGGCAATAGTTGGTTGCAGGCAGCGGCCTTTTATATAACTTGGATGCACCTCCTGTCATTTCAAACAATTTGACAGAGTTTCTTAACGCTGCACTGTAATCAATCATCATCAATCAATATTTGTCTCCAATTTGTCATGTGAACAATGTGAACTGACCGAAGCTGTATTCGACCTGCGGGCCCTACTTGTCACATTTTGTTGTAGTTTTGTGCCACAATCAAAGACCGTGCGACATTACCCTTAAAAAACTAGGCAGCAATTATTAATGTTGGCCTTTTTCATTATTTCACTGCATTTATTGTGATTTATTTTTGCTTCAATATGTTCAACAATATTTTTCAATGCTAACATACCCTAGTTGTATACATAATAAACGGATACGGGAATGTATCTGTTTACCTCCATATAGATCCTTTAACTGCCAAATATAGGTCTCAGTAACAGACCTTTTATGTATGACAAATTGCCGCAGCGCTGACAAATTGCCAACTCAATCTTGTTGTCAACAGGCTGTTTAACTTGTCCGTCCCTTGAGGAACTTGTAATACAATTCTGTCAGTCTGTGCACATGACAGTCAACGATAAATTGACAGCCAATTTTAAATTATTTACTACATTTACTTGTCTTTATCCGCGCTGCACAGAAACAGTTCTGTCCGCATTGTAAACCGAATACCCCAACACGCGTCCACCTCTTAGAATTCCCACCGCATGTTGCATTCGATATTGCAGTTTGTCAATAACAAGTTTCAGCTTTTTTTTACTCTTTCTACCAGTCGCTCAGAAGTGCACTTTTACTTGTAATACTCTATAAAGTGGAATGCCTACCTGTATTTGCCAACTGTGAAAAATATTTTTATATAAATCTCTATAGAAAGTTAATTTCTCCTTGGTATAAATGGGAGTTAGAGATTTGGTGGGAGATGTTTCGTGTTTGAATTCACTTCACTCTTTATGAAGATTTTTCATATATATTTACAGAATTTGATCATAGGAAAAGGTAGAATATTCGTCCATATAATAGCTGGGTAAAAGGAAGAAAAAATGTTTGTATATATATAAATATCAACAAAATATATTAATATAACAAAATGGTAATAATTTTCATCAAAAAGATACAAATTTAGTTAATAAATAAAATTATTATTAATATGAAGAGCATTTGAAAGTCGACCCATTTCCATGTTAAGTATTTTTAGTTGCATACTTTGCGGCTACGGTGTGAAATTGTATTTGGCGGTTTTGTGTACGTGCTAAACAAGCGCGCAAATGGTTTTATTTTAAATCGCATCTGGCAATTTATTTCTAAATTTAAAGTTCTTTACTCGCCCATATATATACACATAAGTAGTACTACATATCAGCTTTACGCATTTATGTGAAGCTGAAATTCGCTAACTTATAGATTTATAGCTAGTTTACGAGCGCCGTTGCCAAACGTTGTCTCGACTGATATCTTAAGATTTATATGGCTCGTGTTTAACATGTGTGCCTGTAAACATCTTATCGGATTGTTATTGCCTGCAACTGGGGTTTAATCTCTGCCCGTGAATTACTCTGATAAAGTTAATGATAATGATGTCAATTGGTACTCGAGTAATTTAGCTTGAATTTGACACATTCAGTTCGGTTTCATTGCTCGAACGCGTTTAAACGTAAAGCGCCAGGCTTTCAAGTGCTTAAAGGGTAATATAAAACGTATTCGATAAGGTTTTTGAATGGGTTTCGGCAGGCGGTTTCAACAATTTCATGCTTTTAAAAGCCCTTAAATAACTTGATTATATCACTCAAGGCTCCTGACAGTCCTCCGACTTTGAATAACATTAACGTTTATTGAATGTAATTCAAGCAAATGCAATCGCCAAAGTATTTAATTATTGTGTTTATTTCCGGTAATTATTTACATTTCCGGCTTGCAGCACAGAAAGGTTTAAAATAAATATAATTTAAATAAATACACACTCTTCACTCAACATTCCTTATGCATATCTTTTCTCCTTGCTTAACTAAGCTTGCCAGGTGTTCTATGGACTTAAATCACAATACGCATACGACACGTTGGCCGGCAACATATTTAAACTAGCTTTAAACAATTAACAATGGCAGTAACAATAAAAAGAACGTTGACTGCATATGAAATTTCCTTGCCAAAAATAAACTATATATATATATTTTTATACATATATATATATACTTTATTGTTAATTCACTTACATTTTTTTAACGCCTCATTAACAGCTGCCAACTGAAGACAACAACAAAAGCGACAAAAAAAATATATAAACGTGACATCGCTGACCGGCCTCTTGCCATACGAAATACCCTTTCCCCTGTAGGCCCCACCTCTCTGCCCTCTGCTAAAGGTTTTCGCAATCGCATTCAACTTGTCGCGCTGTCCATTCACAACCGAATGCATTGAACAAAAACAGAAACACCGAGAGAATCATTTCGTATATATCTATGCACAACTTTTGGCTATATATATATACATAGCTACATGCCTGATCGACACTTTGGCACTTGTTGCTGCCTTTTTACTCTGACTTTTTTATGCTACCGCTCGCAACTCGCGTGATCTCAAGCGCATGGGGTCTTTGGTGTTCGACGTCGCTGCCGCTGCCTCTGTCGCTGCCGCTGCTGGTGCTGTTGCCACCGCCGCTGCTGGCGCTGTCAATATAGGCGGCGGCGTCGTTGTGGGTCTCATTAAGTGGGCGGTTCGCTCAGATTCAGTTGCTCGTGAAACGTTAAAACGCGCGAAACGCCTTGTCGTGTCGGCGACGTTATCTAAAATTCTCGGAAACAATTCCCTAGGTCTTCTGAAAGTACACAACCGTTAAGAAAGTCTTGCAAAACAAATTGCATAAAAAAGCGTTACTAAAGGTGCGCAGAAAAGGGTAAAAAAATAAAACACAAATAAGATTAAAGGCTAAAAATAAAGTACTAATAAAATGTCATATTCGTATAATTCAATATTATTTCAAAAATGTTTCGAAATCAAAAGATTTCTGATTCATAGCCTTTTTAAATTGATAAGCCTTTCTAAAAATTCTTAAACATCTTACTCCTCTTCTTTGTTTCTAATCAAATTACTTAAGTTCTTCTTAATCAACTACTTGCAACATCTGAGATTTGTGGCTGGCAATATTAACATTTGTTTTAAAAAGTTTCTCAACTCTTTCGTAACTTATTTACGCAACCTATTAAACTTAAACTTCCTATAATGATTCAATATTCAACATAAACTATAAGGAAAAGTCAGAATGTCATGTGAATTAATATTGCTGTGCCATAAATTTAAGACCCAAGGCAAATGTCGCAAACTTACGGCTCAATTTACATTATCGGTTATTATTCAAATTGCATTTAGCTTTCGTTTTGGATTTGAAGGGTGTCGGGTTAATCGCTGGCTATGCCAAATAAAAGTGAAAACTAAGCTGGGATAGTCTTACAAAGTGGGTCAACAACTTGACTGTGAGAAAGTGACTGAGCATGAATCAGAATTGGGAATATGATCGACTATTTGAAATATCCGCAGCCTGAATATTATTAAGAACTTGGCCTGAGCCGATATGTGCTTAGTAAATCGAGTTGATATTGTCACACGTGGGTCCCAGGCGTCTATTTAGCAACTATTTAATTGTTCATCTCAAGAATTGACAAGGTCACATAGTTGAAGCGGCATCTCGGCAATTCGCCGAGTTAATTAAATTGGATACAACTTTCTACTTGCATTACCTTTACCATTCTACCACCCTCTCTCTCTCTCCCTCTCTCTCTCTGTCTCCCCTTGGCAGTCAATTTTAATGCATTTGTTTTTTGCATTAAATCTTTTTTTTAGCTATTGTTTGGTTCTCTATCAAGTCACAAGTTTTTGGGTTTGTAAACAAATGAAACATTTTGCACTTTGCCCATGCAACAAGCTTTGCCAATAAATTGTCAGGTTAAGGCAAACTATTTTGGATCTACTTACATCCGGACCCGGTACACTGCCCCTACGTGCCATTAAACGGTCGATAAACAAATTCTATTTAAATGGCGTTTAAACAAAAACAAAAATTAGTCGCTCTCCAGTTAGTAATTATTGTGTTATATTATATACACGAACTATAGATCGATTATTTACGTATTTCCACATTTGTAAGGCAATTTCTAATTGTTTGCTGCCTGGCTAAAAAAAAAAAGAACATAAAAAAACACTCAACTATGAGACGCGCTTACAATAAAGCTTTACTTTACTTTTAACAGCCCAAAAATTAATAATAAAGCCAGCTCGCGTGGCATAAATCCAGATTTAATGTATCAACAACCCAAGCAAATATTTACTACAAATTCTGCGTCAATATTGTTTAATAGTTCTCAGAAAAAATCGAATATGAATAAATCATTTATAAATTGTAACAAATTATGATTTCAGAAGGCACTTTAAATTTTTTACTTATCTTACATTTAAGATAAGCTACCCTATATATTATGATTGTAAAGAACAAATTTTTGTATAAGATTGGAATTTAGGAACATCATCGTATATCAATACGATTAATGTGAAATACGTGTGCAACATCCAAAAAGTGGGTTAACATTTTTTTTAAATTTTTTTAATATGCTATAAAATTAACTGAAATGAACAGACAAACAGTCAGGAAAAGATAGATGGATTTGGGCATTGATACTGAATACGAAAAATATGTATACATTTTGGTGACGGAAATGCCGGCTTCTAATACCCTGTTCACAAAGTGTAGAAGAGTATATAAGCTTTGTTAGTTATGTTCAACATTTGCACAGCAGAACAAATCAATTTTTTGTTACTATTTCGTATAGACACAGGGTATAACAATACTAGATACTTACTTTTAGTACTTAGCGGATATTAAGCAATTGCATCATACGCTTAGTTAGTTAATATTTGAAGCACGTTTTCGCCATGCAATTGGACATAATTTGTTCTATGAACTTGCTCAATGAAAAATGTTCAAAGTCAAGACCGCAGACGCACATGTTTCGCTTAATAAAAGAAGCTTTTAGAGCCGCTTGTAAAAACCACAAAGTAAGTTATTTTTAAACTAAGCGAAGCTTTTAAACTAATTGCAGCTGAAAGCGAACAGAGCTTTTTAAATAATATTAAATTTGCATATTATCTGTAGCACTTGAATCAATTAAGGCAGATAGGCTCGAAGCCATATTAAGCCCTACAAAAATATTCTTAGAGCAATTTGGGCCCTAGGCAAGATGGAAGTCTATGAAGTGCATGATTCCATTTTGTTAAAGAAAGGGTATTCCTATTTCAGTCCTCCTGCCCAAAATGTCGCCGTCCAGCAAGCAGCAAGAGGCGGAGGATAGCGAACATAATCCCCAGGTGGTGGTCACGACCACAGGTGCTACACACAGCATACGACACGATCGTAGCCTCTGGCGTGATCTGACAGCCTATTGGATATTGGGTCTCTGCAACAACTATGGCTACGTGGTGATGCTGAGTGCTGCGCACGATATCATTGCGCAGTTTAATGATGAGGTGAGACTAAATATGGCTATATTGAGTGACTGATAGCTGAACTGATATTTTATATTAGCCTGAGGTGGATGATGGCGCTGTTGCCGGCACAGGACGTGAGTGCCATTTGGTATCGACGGGCGCCATATTGCTGGCGGATGTGTTGCCCTCGCTGTTTGTCAAGATTCTGATGCCCTTCTTTCCCTTTTGGGTCAAGTGAGTTGCTACGCTCGCCACATTCAAGCCTGTGCTAAATGGTTTTCTTGCAGTGTACGCATAGGCATAGCCGTTGCCTTCTCGGCGGCGGGTTTCCTGCTGGTTGGCTTTGCGAATGCCGAATGGATGGCGCTGCTGGGCGTGATTATTACCTCGGCCAGCAGCGGCATTGGAGAGACCACCTTTCTGGCGTATTCCTCCCGCTTTAACAAGTATGTTTTGCTCTTTGGCCATTCGCCTTGCCTTTAACGCCTTCTTTTACAGAAATGTCATATCGACCTGGTCCTCGGGCACAGGCGGTGCCGGTGTCATCGGCTCACTGAGCTATGCCACGCTGCGCTCCCTGGAAGTTAGTCCGCGCGACACCATGCTGATCATGCTGATCTTTCCCGCTATTGAAGCGTTTGCCTTCTGGCTGCTGTTGCGTCGTCCACAGATGCTGCCTGTCACCACTGTGGAATCTACCGAGGAGCTTATTAGCGATGATAAGCCCCTGGTGGGCTTCAAGGAGAAAATGTCATACATTAAACAACTTTTTAAATACATGTTGCCGCTGTGCCTGGTCTACTTCTTCGAATATTTCATCAATCAGGGACTGGTAAGTCCATTAATTTAGAAGATTTTTGTGCATGTTCCAAGTTGATGTGTTTTTTTTTTTTTTTTACTGAACAGTTTGAGCTGGTGTATTTTGAGAAAATTTTCCTGGATAAGGCATCTCAGTATCGCTGGCTGAATGTGGACTATCAAATAGGCGTATTCATATCGCGCTCTTCCGTCAACATCTTCCAATTGAACAAAATCTGGCTAATGTCCGTGTTCCAGTTTATAAACGTTGTCTACTTCCTAACTGAAGTCATTTGGTTCTACACGCCCAGCATATGGATTGTGTTCGTCATTGTCCTGTGGGAGGGACTGTTGGGCGGCGGCGCCTATGTGAACACCTTCTATCGCATGTCCAAGGAAATACCGCCGGGTCGACAGCAGTTCGCCATGGCGATGGTCGTCCAATCGGATTCATATGGCATTGCCTTGGCCGGATTCCTGGCCATACCCGTTCACAATGCCATTTGTGGACTGCCGGCGGCAGTGCGAAGTGTTGTCTGGTAACAGAACAGAATATAGGAACATAAAAAGAGCTCATAATGAGTATTTAATTATGCCTTTAAATTAGCTAAAATGTGTGAGTGTGAGTGTGTACATTTTGTATTATCGCGCGCGCGCGCGCGTGTGTGTGTGTGTGTGTGTGCCTAGTTGAGGCCCAAGCATTGTAGTTAGTTTTTGTGTTTAATATTTAGTAATTTAGCAATTAGTTTAACAGTACATTTAACTTATAGACACTTCGAATGAAGTGGAATATGGTATTAATCTAGAGATAAACTTTCAATAACAGCATAAGCTGAGAGAACGAAATCTGAACAATTAAAAAAAAAAAAAACAATGAACAATAGACATTGAGAATGATTACCAGGGCCAAGCACAAGTGAGGTTATCATCTGGCTGCTTGCTCACAATACCGTAAGCTTGTAAAGTGCAAAAAAAAATACTCTATGATTGAGTCTTAGCAATCAATTGTCATCAATTCAAATACAACAGAATTTATTCTTTGATACTTTATTACCAACAATGCTTCTTTCTCTTTTGTTTTTGATCGTTCTGAAAACTACGAATATGTAATTTGGTTCATAATAGAATGCCAACTAATATAGCTACCTGTTGTTGGACACAATCTATGGCTAAACTAATTCAGATGGGATATAGTATATCATAATGCCCGGGTCTATAGATAAGATAAACCATAGGCTGAGCTCCCTCAGGGAAATCATGTGCCTTCACAGTGCCACCTTCGGCCCTGTCCAGATATTCAACGCGCACGCCCACCCCGAGGGCGGCACATAGTGCAATGATGTGTATGTGATCGGATTCCTTGAACATTGGCTCGACTTCTTGATGGCGAAACTCCTCAATGGATAGATCACCTTCGATAAAGTGTTGATAAAAGTCGGCATCCTCCTGCAGTTTGCCCGACGTGATTAAACGCAGATAAACAATCACATAATCGGAATATCCCTGCTCGTTGAAGATATTATGCAGCTCAGTCTGTATCTTCTCAGATCCTCCAGCATTATCTGGACTAACTCTATTTATAACATCCATAAACTGAAATCAAAAAACAATTGGGGCATTCTGCTTCTGAACAAAACTTATGACTTACAGTTCCATGAAAGTCTTCTAGTGTAAAGCTGGGAAAACCAAGTTCTATTAGCTTATCCTTGGAGGCCTCTGCGATTTCCCGGAATTTGTCGTAAGCAAGTTTATTCGTTATTAAATACTCCAAATACGAGTAGGCAAACGCTCTAAAGAAGCAGTTGCCATCCGGACGTGTTCGACGCATAAATTTATATTTCCCAGCCAAATCTTCAATCTTGGCTGTAAACACAGCATCGCCATTATATTCCGCAGTCAAACAAGTCAACGGCAGTTGTTCGCTGACCAAAGGTGTTGATTCACTGATCTAAAAACAATTCGTATCCATATCAAATAATATCCCAGAAATGCATTGCATACTCACCTCCTTTTCTATATCACGCTGCTGCTGCAAGATTAAATCATCATGATTGCCGCCATTACGTTCCACCGACTCCATGAGTTACAAAAAAGTTATCAAACAAAATCACAAAAATATTTGTTCCAAATTTGAAAAAGTCATATAGGGCTAGTTTGACGGATGGCAAAAATAAAACACTACAAAAATATCGGTCTTTAGAAAAAAAAAAGAAAAAATATCCTAAAATAGTATTAATCGAATAAGCAAGTAGGCTCTTTAACTTCTGTTTGATTTCTTAGTTCAGTTCTAGCTGCTACACAGAACAGATCAAAAAATTACTTTATTAGTTGACTGAAGGATAGATAATAAAAATCGTAAGTTTAGAGAATCGGCAGGCTTATGGCAATTTTCTTTTACGATGCTTTCCATCGTAGTTAACTTAGAAGATGACCTTGCCACGCGTTTATTTCGACATTTCTGCCGGCGGGGAAAAACTAGGACGCATCGTAATGGAGTTACGTGCGGACGTTGTGCCGAAGACCGCTGAGAATTTTCGAGCTCTGTGCACCGGAGAGAAGGGCTATGGCTATAAGGGCTCCCCGTTTCATCGGGTCATACCTGGTTTCATGTGTCAAGGTGGCGACTTTACCAACCAAAATGGCACTGGCGGTCGTTCGATATATGGAAACAAGTTTGCTGACGAAAATTTTACCTTGAAGCATACGGGTCCGGGAGTTCTTTCAATGGCAAATGCTGGACGTAATACCAATGGCTCGCAGTTCTTTATATGTACTGGCAAAACCAATTGGCTGGACAATAAGCACGTTGTCTTTGGCAAAGTGGTTGAGGGCATGGACATTATTACCAAGGTGGAGACACTTGGCTCTAACAGCGGCAAGACCGCTAAGAAAATTATTATTGAAGACTGTGGCGACTTGTAGGAAATAAAACTTTGTCATAGTTGTGCATATGTGTGTACTTGTGTATTATAAGCATACTGCAAGATAAGAAAAACGTGTCTGTGTATAAGCTTTAATTAATTATACTCTGAGAAACGACTTAAAATGGGTGGAGACGGTTATTATAATGACCAGATAATATTAATAATGAAAATAATCATATGGTACAAATAATAATAATAAAATTGACAACATTAATACCGATAATAATGATGATAATGATAATTATATATATAATGAGGATGATGGTAATGTTAATAATTATAATTACAACTATGATAATGAATGATAGAAATGATAATGATAATGATGATAACGGTTATAATAAGAATGGTGATAAGATGATGAATTATAATAATAATATTAATATTAATAGTAATAACAATTATAATATTAATAATAATAATAATAATAATAATAATAATAATAATAATAATAATAATAATAATAATAATAATAATAATAATAATAATATTAATAATAATAATAATAATAATAATAATAATAGTAATAATAATAATAATATTAATAATAATAATAATAATAATAATAAAAATAATAATAATAACAATAATAATAATAATAATAATAATAATAATAATAATAATAATAATAATAATAATAATAGTAATAATAATAATAATAATAATAATAATAATAATAGTAATATTAATATACGTATATGGAAAAATTGCTTGAAATGTTAAAGGTGCCCTAGTTCGTTCGGAGGGTAATATATTGACGTCTCAGCCGGGTGAATGGGACGTGCTTTAGAGGGAGGTCTGACCAATAATTTCGCGTGACATTTCAGCCGAACGCTATATCAGCTTGTGGTGCGGTTAATTCGGATCCCTATATTTGCCAGACACAGGTGAAGCGTCGAACTGCGCAAGTGGCAATCACAATCAGTAATTAGCACTAGTGCATTATTCTGAAGCGCCTGAACTTGTTTGCGGTATGAATTAACGGCCATTTCTCACATCTGTGTTCCGTGTCTCCAGGTGGACACGTTGACAGAATTGTATACCGCCCATTTACGCAGTGGAGGATGTAATTATATTAATAATGTAGCTAAAGGCATCATATACAATTACAAATCATATCAAATTTTCGATTAATCTAAGCTTTTGCGAAATCGATAAGTATCGGTTTCCAGTACCTGTTCTTTAGAACAAGTATAATTTACTTTTTTTTAAAAGCTCCGATCGTTCAACCCGAAATTTGAAAAAACCCGTTTCATTTTGCTTGTGAGTGTATACAAGTAAGTGTGTACTTAACGACAATGCGAATGCTCTGTATATGCAGGGTATTTAAAGTAAAAGACAATATTCAAATGCTGTAGATAGTTTGTAACTAGCACTATTCAAAATAAAGCCCTAAAAGTGCGCCACACAATTTTTGATATTTTTAAAATTTACAACTTGTTTTATTTTAAACAACGCTGTGCATTTATTTATGCTTTATCAACCCATTGGTCGTGTGTTTATACAGCAGCTGCTGCTGCTGCTGCTGCCACAAACAGATCTCCGACGTAAAAATGACAACCGCACAAGCTACATTGTTGACTGCTAATTGCTGAGCGGCGCTTGAGCAGCAGCAAAATGTTTTAACCAGTCGTTTTTTAGCTGCCGCATCGAATGGTTTTGAAGCGGCATTTAAATATTTACATATATTCCTATTAATTTACCAAAATGCGCGTCGTCATCTTATCAGCACTTTTACTATTGCTCAATCTAAATCTTAGCTGGGTTAAGGCGAGCGAGAAAAATACGTATAGAACTGGCAATAAATTGCCTAATGTAATCATTATAATGGCTGATGATATGGTAATTGTTATAGTTCACAACCAGTTTTGTGTCAACAACAATAAATTAACAGTTATAACTGACTAATTTAGGGGTTCGATGATATTAGCTTGCGCGGTGGACGTGAATTTTTAACACCCAACATCGATGCACTGGGCTTTCATGGACGTCTGCTGGATCGTCTCTATGCACCGGCCATGTGTACACCATCCCGCGGTGCTTTGCTGAGTGGCAAATATCCCATACACACAGGTAGGCAGTGTCTCTACAAAGTTATGTCTATGCAGTCGTAACAAACTGGGTCACCGTGACAGGTACCCAGCACTTTGTGATTAGCAATGAGGAGCCCTGGTCGCTAATGTTAAACACGACGCTGATGCCGGAGATCTTTCGGTCGGCTGGTTACTCAACCAATTTGGTGGGCAAATGGCACTTGGGATTCGCTAGGCCGGAATATACGCCCACACATCGGGGCTTCGACTATCATTATGGCTATTGGGGCGCCTACATTGACTACTATCAACGGCGCTCACAGATGCCAGAGAAAACCTATATTGTTGGCTATGACTTCCGGCGAAACATGGAGGTGGAGTGCACAGATCGTGGCGTTTATGTTACGGATTTGCTGACCAACGAGGCGGAGCGTATAATCCAAGAGACTGCGGCTAAGCAGAAACCACTTTTTCTAATGATTAACCACTTGGCGACGCACACGGCCAATGATAACGATCCGTTGCAGGCACCTGAGGAGGAGGTGCAAAAGTTTCTCCACATCAAGGATCCAAATCACAGAAAATACGCAGGTGAGCTTTATACATTCATTTCTTCAGCATTACGTCCTGATCGTCAAAAGTATTTGAATAGCCATGGTTTCCAAATTGGATCAGAGCGTCGGCCGTGTGATTACCGCGTTGGCGCGTGCAGAACAGCTGGAGAACAGCATTGTGATCTTTTACTCGGACAACGGGGCGCCTTCGGTGGGCATGTTCGCCAACACGGGCTCCAATTGGCCACTCAAGGGTCAAAAGAATTCACCCTGGGAGGGTGGCGTGCGCGTGGCCGGCGTCATTTGGAGTCAATTGCTAACGGCTCGTGGCCATTTGTTTACCCAACCCATTTATGTTGGGGACTTTCTGCCAACGTTGGCGCATGCCGCGGGCATTGAGCTGCCAGAGTCGTTGCAGCTCGACGGCATTGACTTGTGGCCACAGTTGGCGGGTAGCAAAGATGCTCCACATGTGCCACGAGAAATATTGCACAGCCTGGACGATGTGTCGCACTTTAGCTCGCTGCTGCTGGGCCAGTGGAAGTATGTGAATGGCACCACTTTGGCGGGACAGTTCGATCAACAGTTGACCCATCGCGAACTGGACGAGTTGGATCCGCGTGCGCGTCGTTATGTGGTAGAGGTGCGTAATTCACCTGCCTCCAAAGCTCTGGCAAGATATGATCTCCAGCGACTTACACAACATCGCATGCATACGCTCAGGAGATTAGCCACTGTGCGCTGCGGTGACATGCAGCGCGGCTGCAATGCTTTATTAGAGGAATGCCTGTATGATCTGAGCGTCGATCCGTGCGAGCTCAACAATCTAGCTTACTCGGAACGGCATGCGGAAATTCTTGCGACGATGCGACAGCGTGTCCAGCAGCTGCGTGCTGAAGCTTTGCCGCCTGGAAATCGTCCGGGCGTCAGCTATGCCAACCCGAACCTGCATGAGTGTACGTGGGACAACTTTGAAGTCAAGAAGGCGGGTGCAGGTAAGTTTAAAAGCAATAATTAAAATGTAACATTAAAATATATTTGTTAATTAATGTTGGCAGTGCCGCTGGATTGCGATTACCATGGAATTCCTTGCAGTGCTTAGCCGTACCGTTAATTTCGATAACGATATCAATATCGATTATATACCAGCACAGTCTGGCAACGTTGCAGATCTTTCAAATTTGACTAAGATTTTTTAAATTATTTTTAATTGCCTTTTACCCTCTTTTTTTTCAATTATTGTATTGTTATTGTAATTCTATTTAATGTTTTTAAATTCTGTGAAATGAATACAAAGTGCATTACAATTTAAATGTCAACAATTTGGCGCCTAATAGTGTCAGCTGATGGCAGTGTCAGCCGTTGTTCATAAGGGTGGAAAATATAGTGCATACCCAGTATCTGTCACAGGATTTCAGACACACAGTTTTGTTACCGTCATGGAGGAACGAGCTGTTTTAGCAAACATTGCCACAATCATTACAAAGGATTTGCTCATCGATGAGCAGCACAGACACAGCAGCAGTGGCAGCTTCTTTTCCAGCAGTTATCCGTTGCTCGACGCCAGCGATGACGACGAGGCCGAAATCTTTGCATTAATGCAGCAAAAGCGTGCCGTCGCATCAGCCGGGCAGGTTAAGGGCAAGCTGAAGCGCACGCATATCGAAGAGCCAGCGGCGGCAAGCGATAGGATTCCCAGCAAGTTGGCCAGATTGGAGTGGAAATATGCAGAGCTTAATTTGCTGCAACGCTATGCGGATGCTCAGTTTGAATCTTACCTACATATGCGCAAGCTAACCTTTCTGGTGAGTACACACGCATACTCAAGCACCGAATGGAAAAGCTTCATAACACACCCAGTTGGGCTTGCAGAAAATCCAGCAGGCTCTGGAGGATATTTTGCAGAGAAATGCATTGCCGGGCGCTCCTACTCCACAGACAACCCTCTCGTTGGCCCTATGGAAACTGGCTACAGATGAACATTTCGAGGAAATCGCACGCAAATTTCAGTTTCCTTGGTCGGTGTGCCAGCAGGTGGTGCGCAGCTTCTGGCACATTATCTCTGACAACTATGAAAGTTTTATCAAGTGGCCCAACTCTCTGGAGGCCCAGCAGAGTACACTGCAGGGCTTTCAGAACGTGCCGCAGCTGAGTTGCTTCCGCGAGCTGTTTGGCGTAATATCCCTGAAGCGTCTGGACATTTTCCTGGAATGCGAACATGCCGAGGTGGCCGTAGTGCTTCAACTGATTTGCAATGGCGAGCATAAGATCATTGACTGCTATGTGGAGCTGGAACAGGATTACACGTTCGAGGAATCGCCGATTGGCCAAACGCTCGCTCTCAATCCACGCACAATGCCAGCCGGCAGCTATTTAATTGGCAGCAGTAGTTTTCCACTCAAATCCTATTTGGTCCGACCTATTGAGGCAGAATGCTTTCGCAAGGATACCGTCTTTAACGGTTTGTTGGAGCCAGCATACCAGTTAGCCGACGATGTGTTGGATACTTTGGCGCGTCGTTTTCAAACTTTATATGCTCTAGAGGCCCGTGATTTGAACGAAGTGCGGCTGATTGTGGAGAGCATTTGTGCTATGCACAACTTATGTGTGGATTTCCAAGACAACTATTTAGAGACGGAGGCTGGTGGACAAAATAAATTTAGCTGGGGCGGAGATCTTCCTGGACGTAGAGGCAGCGAGAAGGATGCCAAGGGACTACGTCGCCGGATGGAACTTCTTGACGCACTGGTGAACACTGAAGAGGGGGAATAATATATATAAAATAAAAAATGTACGATACGCTATGCTGCAAATAACTTGGGAACATCTAACTGTAATATCAACATAAGAACCGTATTTAGTGCTAATTATTGCGATATATGCGAAACTATCGATAACGCATATTGGTAGGTCCGATAGTTGAATTGCCGGCTATGCAACATCTGGCAACTCTGTAGCAATAACAAAACAAATGCACGTGTGAAATTTTGTTTAATTTTAGTAAACCATTTGCGGATAAAAAATGGATACATTCGACATATTTAAACAATTAACAGCTGGCGTACGATTTACCAAGAAACGTGCGGTATGTAGAATATGGTAAATTAAAAGCACTTACTAAAACTTACGCTAGGCAGGCTCCGTCATCCAAGCCAAACACTTCCAACCAGGTAAAGGAGCAACCGCGACAGCTACCATCGGCCTCTGAGGCTGCCGAAGCTTCTGAGTCAGGCGATGAATGCACAGCAAAGGACGAATTTCGTTTGCTCACTAATGTCACGGGCACAGCGCCAACTGCACCCAAGCAGAAAAAAGCTAAAAAACAATTGTCAAAGGAGCAGGCAGAGCAACAGCAACGTGCGGAGCAGATAAGTGCGCTGCGCAAGGAACACAGCATAACAGTGCTGGGCAAGGATGTGCCAGCGCCCATAAGTAGCTTTGACGAGCTGAGCACGCCGCATTTCAAGCTGCTGCCGCGCCTGCAAGAGAATCTTTTGTCCTATGGCTTTGCACAGCCCACACCTATACAAATGCAGGCGCTGCCCGTGCTGCTGAATAATAGGGCACTGATGGCCTGCGCCCCAACGGGTTCGGGTAAAACATTGGCTTTTCTCACCCCCATCATTAACGGGCTGCGCAGCCATAAGACGACTGGGCTGCGCGCCCTGGTGCTGGCGCCCACACGCGAGCTGGCACAGCAAATCTATCGTGAGTGCGCGGAGCTGACCAGGGGGACGGGACTACGCACGCACTTCATCAGCAAAGTGAGCGAAGCGCGGCAGCAACATGGACCCGACTGCAAGCAGAAATATGACATATTAATATCAACGCCAAACCGTGTTCGGTTCCTGCTGCAGCAGCAGCCGCCACTGCTGGACTTCAAAGGCATTGAGTGGTTTGTGTTGGACGAGGCCGATCGTCTCATGGAGGAGGGTCAGAACAATTTCAAGGAGCAACTCGACGAAATCTATGCGGCCTGCACGCATCCACAAAAGCGTGTGGCCTTTTTCAGTGCCACCTATACAGTGCCTGTGGCCAAATGGGCGCTGCGGCATCTCAAAAATCTAGTGCGTGTGACGATTGGTGTACAGAACAGCGCCACAGATACAGTACAGCAGGAACTGCTCTTTGTGGGCTCCGAAAGCGGTAAACTGCTGGCCGTGCGTGAAATGGTGCGCCAAGGACTACAGCCGCCAGTGCTAGTCTTTGTGCAGAGCAAGGATCGCGCCAAGCAGCTGTTCGAGGAGCTGCTCTACGATGGCATCAATGTGGATGTCATACACGCGGAGCGAACGCAGCATCAGCGCGATAATTGTGTGCGCGCTTTTCGCGAGGGTCACATCTGGGTGCTCATATGCACAGAGCTGATGGGACGCGGCATTGACTTCAAGGGCGTTAATCTGGTCATAAACTATGATTTTCCGCCTAGCACCATTTCGTATATTCATCGCATTGGACGCACAGGTCGCGCTGGTCGTCCGGGACGCGCCATTACCTTCTTTACCCAGGACGATACGGCCAATTTGCGGAGGTAGATGCATGTAAATTCCGACATCCTTTCCATTCAATTGATATATATTTTATTTATAGCATTGCACAGATAATCAAGAACTCCGGCGGAGAGGTGCCGGAGTACATGTTGCAAATGAAAAAGGTTCGCAAATCGGAGGCGAAAATGCGTGCCAAGAAGCCGTTGGAACGCGAAGACATATCAACCAAAATCCGCCCTGAGCCAAGGCCAACGCCCAAAAACTTTGTTAAATTACAGAAAATAGAAAAAACCGAAAAGGTTCTCAAACAGCAAAAGCACAAGAAGCATAATAATTTGGCCAAAAATGGAGACTCAAATGCGTTGCGCAAAACCAAAAAACTGGCCAAAATCAAAGACCAAATAGAGAGCAAAGTGGCGGCAAAAGGCAAAGCGAAAAAGCCCAAGAAGAGTGTTAAATGATGCGCCTTGTTTAAGCAATAAATATTATGGTAAGTATATATAATTTTTTACCTTAAACACTTTTATATGCTGCGCTTAGATATGAATGTTACTTGGCAGATTTGTTCACGACTTGTGCTGATGATTCTCCTTAAGATTCTGCCTGGATGTTCACTTGTAAAAACAACTTGAAACTAAGTTTTAGTTCATAGACATTGGACATTGCCAGTTAACGAGTTCTCCCAAGTGTGCATTTTGAAAAAATTAACAAAATCACCTTGATAAATGCGATTTGCGTTTTTTTTTTAAGTGAATCAAAAGATATTTCAATGACATTCAATAATCATTTTAATGTTTCTATAAACATGTTTTTAAAAAATATGCGTGCTTAACTATTTGTACAGCATTTTTGCATAAACTCTTGTACTAAGTTGTGTTTTTTTTTTTTGATTTAATACTAAAAGGCGCAATCGGAATAGTAACAATTACTAGTTCTATTTCTCGTCTTTGACAATCTTCTTTGATGGCCTTCCACGCCTTTTGGGCTGCAAATCACAGCCTTTGGCGTGGTTGGCCAAGTGAATTTTAAGTTGATCGCTTCTGGAGAAGCGCGCCGTGCATTCGTGGCACTTATACGGTTGTTCGCCTGTATGGACGCGCACATGCCTGTCAAGATCTCGCCGACGGTTAAATGCCTTCGAGCAGTGGCTGCATTTATATGGATGGTCGCCTGTGTGCACACGCAGATGCACCATCAGATCGTAGTTCCGAACAAAAGACTTTGAGCAGCGGACACATTTGTGCGGACCCTCGGCGGCATGAATGTGTACGTGAGCCCGTAAATTAGATTTTTGCGTAAAAGCCTTCGGGCAATGTGGGCACTTGTGTGGACGCTGGCCGTAATGCAATTGTATATGGTCCCTGGCATGATGGCTTTGAGCAAAGGCCTTCGGACAGTGCGGACACTTGTAGGGGCGCTCGCCGGTGTGGGTGCGCCTGTGCGCCTGTAGAGTCTTGTGCCGGCTAAACTCCTTGGGGCATTCCAGACACTTGTATTGGCGCTCTTCGGTCGGCCTATGTTTGCGTGCTGCCTGTTGTTTCTTGCCATTCAACTGGGATTCTTCTTTGCCAGAACTGGTGTCCGTTTCCGGTTCGTTGCTCCAGTCGCTGTGGTAGCTGCTGTCAGACTGTGATAACTGGCTACGTTCGATGTAGCTCTTACGTTTAGATTGACGAATGGGATAGCGACTTGAGCTCGATTGTGTATTAGCTAAGTCCCCATTTGAAAGAGATTTACTTTCTTCGATGCTCTCCGGTTCATGACATTCGATGTAGCCCTTACTGTGCTCTTCAGGCTCCAAGTGGCTCTCGAGTGTGTTCTCTGCATTCGTGGTTTCCATCTGTTCCAAATGCTCACTGGCTGGCTTACAGCTCTCTCGCTCTGGACTCGCCTCGTGCTCCAGTTTGATGCAATCGATATCCAAAACTCGCTTCGGCAGGTCCCATTCCTCAGCTGCCAGCATATCACAAAAGGCATCGACATCGACTTCAACAGCGCTTTTCTCAACCTTGAGAGCAAGCAATTTGTAGCTATGCTCACATCTGCGCTTGAATCTAAACGCCGTTTGGGCATCCGCCATGCATGGCAGGCATATCATCTTGGGAAATGTATCGTCGCTTTTCACCCTGCAGTCGGCGCATTCGTTCAGGATGTCTGCCAAGCTGGGCTCATCTTCCGGCTGCTCCCGCTCGCCGAATATATCTACAAGACTGGCGGATCCGCTCAAGCAGATACGGCATATTTGATCCATACTTTTAACAATAAGCTGCTGAAGCTTTAAGCGGCCTTCGCTATTTACTTCTTGCATGCGAGCAACAGATGTGTAATATCGATTATCTAGGGTGACCATCTTCGACAGAAATTTCAATTTATCGATACTATCGATACTGATTAGCATGGCGGTAACAATTTAAAAATTCCAACAAGCGTTCTTAAATTTCGCTCTTTTTATAGATCTCTCGACTGCCGGCTCACCCTCATAATAAAATGTCATGTTTTTAATGCGGTTTTGATATATTTACTTTTTGTATACGTATTATCTTAGAAATAGTACGTTTTCATATTTAGTTTTTACTGTGCAATTGGGTTTGTGTTTTATTGATTTATTTGCGTTTGTGTCACAATACCTTATTCATTATATAAATTAGTGGATTTTATTTTCGTTAAATGCTATTCTTAAGTTTAATTTGGAAGCAAACTTCTAATTTGTTTACCAAGTTAACAACGTTTTGAATAAAAATAATGTTATACAATAATAAAGTGCGAAATCATTTTTAATAAAAATCAATAATAAATTAATATGAATGAATAATATATATATATATAAATGTATGTTTATGAGTTTCAAGGGAGCAACGAAACAAAAACTATATAATAATAAATAAAATGCATTAAAACCTACATTAAAAGTTATAGCTGCGATTTTGTATGTTTTGTTATTTCGAGTTGGTTCCTTAGCAACATATTGTGACTTCCGCAGCTGTCACAACATTTAACAGATTGCATTACTTTTCGACAATTGTTGAAACTTATTAATTAGATATATGTATGTACTTGTTAATTTTACTATTGAAATTTGTTATGTACTAGGTTAGGTCTAAATTTCATTGTATGTTAGATCATTTTTTAAGCTTGATAGGAAGCTGTTGTAAGGGCTTATTGTGAAATTCTTTTTAAATTATTTGTTTGATTTACTTGTCGTTCTTTATGCAATTATCATTTTAATGCATAAACAATTTACAAATTCAAGTACTTTTTTATAAGCCCTACATGCATTATTATTATTTATCAGTTTTTTGCTTAGGCATTTTACAATAAGCATTTTTAGCAATTATATATATATGTATAGATATATATATATATTTGATTCTTACTGCATTATTTTTCGAGAAATTTGAGTTAATTTTTTGGGGAGAAGGCATTTTAGAAATTTCCTTGAAATTTTAACCAACTTTTTTTTTGTTTTTAGTTTTTTTTTTTTTTACAAAGAACATTTAGCATTTGTGAATTGCTAACGACATTTTACGTTCATGTAAGCATATGCATATGTTTATATATATATATCTATTTATATATGTATATATGGGGGGTGTGTCTCGGTTTGAATCTAACACTATGCATATTTGCTAAAACGCGCGACACAACAAACATTTTCTTTTAAAGCGCTACCAAATGAGAAACAATTAACAATTAATTATACAATTACGTACACATCGCTCAACTTTAAAACGCTGGAAAAATTTGGCTTCGATTTGTTGCAGTTATCTGTCGGTCTGTTTGTTGTTGTTGTTTTAGTTTCAGTAGAAATGCGGCGGCGGCAGCGTTTGCGACGGCAAAGCTGACGTCGGCTTCGGCTCCCATCAGACGACAGAATCCTTCCGTATCCTGCGATTGTTCGTTTGTGTGTTAGCATACATGTGTGTTTAAAAGTACAAGATGAATACAAAAAGAAATATAATTATGTAGTTATGAGGGTATCGCTTTATCGATCATGCAGTAGAAAACTATTATCGCACCACATATAATTCTCAGTCTGGGGTGCACGCATAACGCCAACGCCGCCGCCCAGACGACGATAGTTCATACAGCCGCACAGGCGCCATTGATTCGTCTCTGGATCATACACCTCAATGGTTTTCAAATAAGCGGAGCCATCGAAGCCGCCCACAGCATACAGTTGGCCATTGACTACGGCTAGGCCGACCTGCAAGAGATGGTAGAATTAGGATATGTTGAATCATCTAATATTAAGGCATCAATTACGCCGCTGCGCCGCGAGGTCATGGCCACAATTGGGCTCCAGGTGTTGGTTAATGGATTGTAGCGCTCAGCAGACGAGAGTTCCATGCAATCATCCCGACCGCCAACGGCATAAATATAGTTATTAAATACAGCGCAGCCAAGATGTTTACGACGTGTGGACATAGGATTGACTGCCACCCATTTGTTTTGCCTTATACGTGTGAATAAATGCAGGTTAGGCAGGGCATATGTCGATTACTTCAACAATTATTTACCTGGGATCATAGCGTTCTACAGTGTTGAGCGGGCATTGGCCATCGGAGCCGCCTATGGCATACAGATGGCCGCTCAGGACGGCAACAGCGACTCCCAGACGGCGTGTGGTCATTGGAGCCACCTTGGACCATTTGTTCTCCTTTGGATCGTAGCGTTCGACATGATTCAAACATTGAACGCCATCCTGACCGCCCACCGCATACAGAAAGCCATCCAGTACGGCTACACCGACGCTTGTGCGGCACGATGTGGTTGGCGCCACATCGCAGGACCATTGATTAGTCTGCGGATCATAGCGCTCTATGCTATTCAAATAGCTCTGACCATCGTGTCCACCAACAGCATAGAGCAGATCATTGAGAACGGCAACGCCGACGCCGCATCGTCGTTTGCTCATAGGCGCAACCATTTTCCAATCATTGGTCTGGGGATCGAAACGTTCAACAGATGCAATGGCATCGCCCGAGCACCATCCGCCCACCGCAAAAAGCACCTCTCCGCGCCGCGTGGGCTTGCGTGGACGGGTACGCGGGCCCTGCATCAGTGGTCGCTCCTGCGGCAGTAGCAGGTAATTTTTGGCCTCATCGACCAGATCACGGCAGGCTTCGTCCGAGCGTACCAGGAGATCAGAGCCCACAGTGCCCACCAGGAACTTGGGCGAAAGCAGCGGCAAACGCACATGCTGTAGCACCTGTTTGACAATAGAGTATAGTAAGGAGTAGACTAAAAGTATAATAGATTGTCACTTACCTGTGCCAAATGCTGTCGCCGCTCAGCGACATTGTACTTCAGCCAGGACATGACTGCATTAAAGACCTGCTCCTCGCTGCGAACGTTGAGCTCATCGCTGCAAATGATATCCACCAATTGGCCGACGGGCAAGAGCAGAAACTCCTCGCTCTCCATTACCTCTTGGAAGTTGTGTTGCGTAAATTTGTCAGCAATGCGCAGTAGCTCGCGGCAGGAGTGAGTGTCGGCGAAGGCGCGTATGCCCAGGCAGTTGGTCGGATCGAGTTGACGCTTGAGAAACTCACAGCATATGTCCTGTATTTCGACGAGCTGCAGGAGGCAGGCGGCTGGTAGCAGCGTTTGGACATTGGACTCCTCCACAATAATGTGGGCGGTGTAGCAAAAATCAATTAGCAGCTCCATTGCATTCTCATCAATGTCGCGAATGGTGACCTCTGTTTGGCGCGACTCCTCCAGCTCGCCAGTGAACATGGCACAAAAATATGAGCTGCATGCGCTTAAGATGACGCGATGGGCAAAGATCTTGCGTCCGCCCACATTGAGTACCACGTCACAGAGCTCCCGATGCCGTCGCAGCATGTTTAGCTCGGTAAGCGTCACTTTTGGATGCTTCTCCGATGTGTGGGTGAGTCGAGCCGGCGAGGGCGGGCGTTCGGCACCGCTGGTGCCACCGCTGCCCAGGCCAGTTCCTGTTGTGCCCGAGCCACCTGTGGCTGCGGCAGCAGGGCCGCTGCCAAGGCCGGTGGAGCCAGGCAGTAAAGGATCGCCCATTCTGTTCGCCGCTAAGCGCAGCGGGGCGGAAGCCCAACCCCACACGGCGTCTATCTATATTGATGAAAAAGTACACAAATGAGTGGAGGAGAATGGATACATTGCCTGCTGCCCACACGCTCGTAACACAAGTCAAAAGCCAATTTGAGATGAGCGCGTGAAAGGTAGCTAATACATTGACTTCACGATCTAATTCTAGCCAAGTTATGGTAAATATATGGTTCTTGGTACAAGGGGATCACAAATTTTGTATACTTTATATATTTGTATAATTGTGTATTATTGTAAAACAAGAGAATATACAAAATATGTTACGTTAGCTACTGTGTGGGCGTGAACTAGTTGTCACGCGCTCATCTCTAAATTAAATCGTAGCCTCAATACCTTTGCGTCTCTGTTATCCACGGATCCAAAGCACGTCCACGGAAACCAGGTGCAGGCGGAAATGTTCGAAAATGCAATTTTGGTGCTTGCTTAATGCGACATTTGTGCTTAAGATTGGATTTGCTCGTTTTCAAGTTGCAGTTGCATATGACCAGATTTTGCACTCGCACAGATTTTTGTGCTTTGTGAAAAATCGAACAATCAAAAAAACAAAAATTTTATGACGTTTAGATAAAGTGTGCGCGTCAGTTTACAATTGGCTGCCAGTAGTGGGCATAGCATTAGCACAACTTGCATTATTTAATAATGCATTTGAACGTATTTTTGCACAATAAACACAAATTTTCACAATATTTTCATCAGAAGCTTCTCGTTGAGATAGATAGAGGCTGGCCTTTTTAGAGCTGTCAACTATCGTTTAAACTATCGATAGAGTTGCTGACAATTTATTATCGATAGAAGAACATTGTGATATGTATATCCCAATTCTAAATATTTAAATGTTGCTGTGATTCTGATGTTAAATTCGATATTTTTTGTGCTGTATTATAATTCATTATTGTATTAATGTAAAATATATTCTGGATTTAACATTTAACGCATATAGGGACACTATTGATCGCTTTTCAGCCCTGTTGCGAGCAGTGTGACCGCTTGCAGCACGCAGTTGGCTATACATGTGAATTAACCGACAACTACGCCAAGTACACATAGTTTGGTATTTTGCTGATGCTAAGAGGTGGTCTTACGTGTGCGACTTTCATATGAGTATGTGCGACGAGGAAGCATTTTTCCAAAAATTAAAAAGCTATTAAATAGTGCAAAATAATTGATAAATTTAAGTGCAACGTATAAATAAATAAATACTAATTACGCATGCATATAAATATCAGAGAATAAGGCAAATTTAAGCAGCGAATAAGAGTGACGCAAAAACCACATACACACATACAGGCAGCCTCATTTTTTTTTTAGAAAGTACGTGAAGAAAAACAAGTTTGATTGTGTGCGTACGTATGTCGAGTGGAGAGTAGTGGAGACTTTTTGTTTCTGTTTAGCGACACAATTTATTGTGGATGGCTTACAACACAAACAAAAACAACATAACAACAAAAGCAGATAATGTTGATTGCAACACAACATCAACTAGAAGAAATGCATACAACAGAAACCATCAAGTACAACAATTACATTGGAAATTGAAATTTGTGCGACAAAAGCAGCAGCAGCAGCAGCAGCAACAGCAGCTACTAACAACGATTTTCGACGACTGGCAGCCATATTCACAGCTACAACAACAGCAAAATCAGAAAAAACGCGATCCACGGTATTGCAAAGATACGTGACAAAAATCGAGAAAAGGAAGACGAAGACTGAGCATGAAATTAGCGTGAAACAAAAAAAAAATAACCAAGAAAACAAATTTTAAAAAAAGCAAATACTACTGTAAAAAAACCAACAAACAAACAAACAAAAATTTATAAACTAACTATACTGCATACAACTAAACGCAATTAATAACACAAAAATATACGAAATATTATGGAAATTGCCCCAATATTTAATACCGCCGTCGTCGCAACAGCCGCCGCTGCCACCGCAACCACGTCGACGTCACAGCACAAGCAGCGACAGAGGCGCTCCGCTGCCGCCGCAGTCTTGACAGCAGCAGCAGCAACAACAACAACAACAGGCGAATCATTTAATGCCAAATGCAGCGCCAATCAAAATGATAACGGTAAATTAACGCAAGGCAATACAAACAAAACAATCAAAATTAATTGCATAAACAAACTACAATAAAACAATCAAAAAAAGAAAAAAAAATGCAATAGTTTTACATGAAAAGCACTTGAACAACTGCAGCGAGCAAGCGAGACGGACATACAATACCTCTCGCTCTAACTCTAGCAGCACTCGTATTAGTTTTTATCTGTTCGCCTCAGTAGTTTTCCACGCGCGCAGTTGCAGCAAAGTCGCTTGCAACATTTGAAAAAAAAAAAAAAGCAGGTCGCTGAACCACAAGCCGCCCGTTCGCCGTGCCGTTGTTTTTAGAGGCCAAAATACGATTAGTAACAAACAACAAAAAAAAATAGTGTTTATAATTGTTGTTGCGCAATTTGTAGATCATTGGCCCAGCTGTGATCGCTATACGAATACGCACACACACACACACACACTAGCCATGATTATTCAGCGTTATTTTCAAGGTGCTCTCCGCCTGAATATTTAATAACTGAAACTGCAGACGACAAGGCAGCAAGCAACGACTGAAGGTCAACAATATCAGGTGGTGCCATACTATTAGTTAGCATTTTAGGGACTCATAATCATTCTCATGGTTCATGGCTCTCAAAGAGGTGGCTAATTGTCAATTGGTTTATATAAATAGCACCTGAAGCTGCGGCACTTTTTTGAGGCAACTTGCCAGTTTTCCCATCGTAGATGAATTTATTCCGAATTTGTCGATAAATGTCCAGTTTTAATGAAATTTGTATCGATTTGCAGCTGCGATATTTTGACCATGTCCCATTATTCTAAAGAGCTTGAACTGCTTAGATATGTAGAATGTAGGTTTTTGTTTCTCTATCTTTTGGTCTCGATTTCATAGATCGATTTTGCACTAGTCAGCGAGAAGTTGCCGATAAAGAAGCTGAATTGATTGATTAATAACTCAAATGTCATTGTTTACTATGTGAAATTTAAGACAATCTATTGTATTTCAATCGGTTCGAGTCCATACTCTATATTAGAACAATTACTGCAGATTAATCAAGTTATAGATTTACATATTTATTGAAATAGTTTGTGCATTTTAAAGGCCTATGCTGATGCTTAAATGTATTTTATATTATTGTTATATATTTGTATAAATTGCCGAGCAACTTTTGTCAGTCAAATACGTTTAAAATGAACCTGACATGTGGCTTGTAAATTTACAATCAACATGAAAAATACTTGTAACTATGATAAAAATAATTATGCAATAAACAATTATATCTAAGAACTGATAAAAGTTGCAAAACTTGAAAATTCCAATATATTTTCATATTTTTTATCTAAACTTTATATTTTGTGTTCTGTTTAAAGTCAACAACTTGGCGTTGATCGCATCGCTGACGCTGCAAAAGGTGCTTAATATTAACAATATTAACAACAACAACAACAATAGCAGCAATGTTCCTGGCAGCGATAGTGTGTTGTGTTATCAGCAAATGTCAGCAGTCACAAAAGCAACGGCAGCAATTAAACAACAGCAACAACAACAACAACAACGACGACACTCTGATAACGAAGCCGAGAATGATGTATTAAATCAATTGCTAAAAACGGGCGCGGTGTTTACAACAACAACAGCAGCAGCAGCAGCAGCAACAACTGTTGCTGTCGCCGCCGCCGCCGCTGCCTCGTCCGCGTCCTCCTCCTCGTCGACTATCAGTGCGCCCATTGCGATTGAGAGGACGACACAGCAAAAGCAACAGCAGAATGGGAATAGTGCACAAAAGCAACGCCTCAATTCATCCATATCATCGACTAACTCAAGCACATCAACCAACTCCTCAACGGCCAATAGCTATGGCAGCTCATGTTCCTCCACAGAGGATCCCACGGCAACGGCAACGGGCAAAGCGGCGGCAATAACAACAACATTAAAGTCGTCCAGCATTAGATTGCCAGAGAAATCGAAAATTCCGTCCGATATACTCGACGATCTGGCCAGTCGGTTCATCATAAATGTGCCAGATATGGAGCTAAATAATTTAATACGAATTTGCTTTCAAATTGAGCTGGCACATTGGTTCTATTTGGACTTTTTCTGTGCGCCCGAGGATTCGGAGCAACAGCAGCAGCAACTGAAACGAAAGCTGCCCGTGGTGGGCATCAAACAGTTCGCCATGCAAATCTTTCAGGTATGAAAATAAACACTTAAGAGTTGAATAATATTTAAATAAACAAAATTTCATATGCGTGTCTATGCAGCACATTCCCTTTCTGAACAAGCATTTTGGCACTGTGGATCAGATATTGGAGGAATGGAAGAACTATAAATTATCTGTGCCAACATATGGCGCTATACTTGTATCGGAGGATCTCAATCACTGTCTGCTGGTGCAATCATATTTTGCTCGAAACTCTTGGGGCTTTCCCAAGGGAAAAATTAATGAGAACGAGGATCCCGCACACTGTGCCACCAGGGAGGTATGTAGCAAGCTCTAATGACATTAGTTTCAGCTGACACTTGATCGGTAAATCAATGCCTCGTAAATATGTACTCAAATGTGTAAAGCATCAAGTGTATATATATGCTAACACAATAATTGAACAGGCAAATCGATATCGTATATATAGCCATGTCTGTCTGGCTGTTAGCTTTAAAACTATTTGTTTTTATGCAGTAGACAAAGCGTGACAAACTTCCGAAGTGATCTTTTTTGATTTTTATTGCATATTAACTGAAAATTGTATTTATCCATTTGCTTTAGGTCTATGAGGAGACGGGCTTTGACATAACGGACATCATAGATGCAGATGATTATATTGAGGCTTATATTAATTATCAATATACACGATTGTATATAGTGCGCAATATACCGTTGGATACGCTGTTTGCACCGCGCACGCGTAATGAGATTAAGTGTTGTGACTGGTTCCGCATTGATGCATTGCCGGTCAATAAAAACGATGCCATATCGAAAGCCAAACTGGGCAAAAACTCAAATTCCTTCTTTATGATCATACCGTTTGTGAAGCGTCTTAAGAAGTGGGTGAACGATCGACGCGCCGGCATAGAACCATCAACGCGTCGGCGCAAATGCTCTGGACAGCAGAGTCCCAAGGCCATCCAAAATGGTGGAACATCCGCATCGCCAACAATGTTAACGAACAACAGTAGCTGCAAGAAGGATCAGCAACGTGGCTCATCGCGGCGTCAGCGGCACAAATCGATGGGCGACTTGGATGGCGTTAAACTAAATAATCTCAATGGCAAGTCGGGAGGCGGAGGAGGAGGAGGTGGTAACGGCGGTGGTCTTACTGCCACCAACATATGCAATAGCAATATCAAGCGTAATAGCAATAACATTAGCAATAGCAACGGCAACAACAACAATAACAACAACAATAACAACAAGCAACTAAATGTGGCTGCGGGCAGCAATACACCAACAACAGCAACAATAACGCCAGTGACAACAGCAACTGCAGCAGTAGCAGCAACATCAACAACAACAGCAACCGCTGCAACGGCAACAAGCAAACGCCAATTGTTTCATAGCCAAAGCCAAAATGATGCCCAACAGCCGGCAAGCAATGAGAAGGTAAGCAATGCTAAGATTGCAGCAAATGCGCTCAAAGCTAAACCGAAGCAATTGCAGATTGTCAGCTCCTTTGATTTGATACGCAAGGAAAAGCAGCAGCAACTGAAGGCGGCCAAGGCTCAAAAGCAACAGCAACAACAACAGCAGCAGCTGCAGCAGCAGCAGCAACAACGTTCGCGCACCAAATCGCAAAGTGATAAGCTAAGCAATCAGCAGCAGCCGATGGTAGTTAAAAGCATTTTGAACAGAAACAACACACAACAACAGCAACAAGCAACACCCACAACAGGCATGGATTTGATTGCCATGCTGACAGCAGCAGCCGCAGCGCAAAACACACCAAAACCGGAGCAACAGCAACAGCTACAACGTCCACGTCCTGCTTCGGTGTCGCTCAATTCGCCAATAGCAACAGTTGCTGACGCAGCCAACAACAGCAGCACAATGCCAGATGCTCAAACATTGCACAAGCTGCAGCGCATGGCATCCGGCACCAATTTGCGAATTTTAAAGCGTGCGCAATCGCAGCAGCCGCATCTGCAAATACAACTGCAGCAGCAACAGCAGCAGCAGCAGCAGCAACAACAACAGCAGCAGCAGCAGCAGCTGCAACTGCAGCAGCAACAAGGGCCCTTAAACTTTACGCCCAGTTTTAATTCGTGGACGAATTTCTCATTCACCAAAAATTTTATAGCAAATGTTTTTTGCTAAGTCAATTTCTATGACTTTTCCTTCTTAAATTCTCAAACATTTTGCATTTTCCAAGTTAAAAGGCCAGTTTTGTAGGCAGCATACATAAAAACAATAATCGTTACACAGATAAAGTTTTAGGTGTTTCCCATGGATCTCTCAGTAAAAGTCTTTTAGACTTTTGGAAAGATGCATTTTTCAGCAGCAGCAACATTTTTCAACATTCATATGTATATAGCAAGCAAGGACTGTATAAAATTTTGTAATTAACATACACATACACATTTTCATACCAAAAATCGAAAAACCAAGGAGAAAGTAAAACGTGAGTCTTCCGCTCCAGCACACGTCATTTTGTAAAAAAAAATTGTCAGGCAAAATTTTTATATACACAAGAAAGAAGAAAAAAAAAAAAACGAAGCAAAGCATGGTAAAGAAAAGCTAGTTATGAAAAGTTGTGCAATTAGAACGCAGCCAACACTTTTTAAGTACAATACGATACAATTATATGAATAATTATGTTAATATATTGGTTTTTAATTTTTTTATAAGCGATAAAGTGAGCGAAGAGAACATCCTTCTAATTAGAGTTCCAGCCAAGCCGTGTGCGTGTATTTTTTAGAGTAAAGTGAAAGAAATTAAGAGAGAATGAAAAACACATAAAGAGAGAGAGAGAGAGAGAGAGTAGAAAGAAAACAAAAAAGAGGATAGGTAAGAGAAGAAAGCGTAGCTTTAAATGCCAAACGTTCTGTTTTAGTCTTTGTTTTCTATACTTTTCTTAAGTATATATTCGTTCTTTGCACCTAAGTGCAATGAACCCTTTTATACAATAACAACAACAACAACCAGAACAAGAACAAGAAACGTGGCAAAGAGGCAAACAACTAAAATGCAACAATTTGCATGACTTTTTGGGTCGTTTTAACTACCCCGCCCCAAACACCACCACCTATAAGATACAATGCGTTGAGCATAAATACTTATAATAACGAGTGTAAATATTTAATTGTGATATAGTATTTCTTAGCACAATTGTGATCTTAACAAAACGGCTAGCTACTACGACTACTACAACTAATATTACATAAATACAAGTACATACGCATACACCTACGTACAAAACGTACCGAACAAGTTTTTTATAAGAAATTTTAATATAATTCAAATGATGATGCTACAATCGAAAAACTTTCCATTGCCCCGACACACACACACACACACACACACACACACACACACACACACACACACACACACACACACACACACACACACACACACACATACACACACTAACACACACTCATACACCTAAAACTATAATTAGCAAGGCAGCCAGCAGGGTATAGAAACCCTACAATTAACTGGGGGCAATATCAGGTAGGCATATCCAAAAACAAAAAATATATAAGATAACAACAAATTTCGGGAACTTGTGACAACTCTGATAAATTTAACGAATTTAAAAAATTAGTTTAAAATATTTGAAGCTGAACATTATCTTTAAAATTGTTTAAGCAATGCTGCCCATAAACTGGCCTTAAAACTGATCTTTAAAAAACTTCTACGTTTTTTCATCTAATTTTATGATTGACTTTTAAAGCTTTTTGAAAAGCCATATTAATTTTGTATTTTGTAAAACCAATCTTTAATTTCTTTTAATCTTTCGAAATTTCAATTTTTCTTTTTTTTTTTTTTTTGATTTCCTTTTCTATAATTTCAACAAATGAACTGCAACTAAACGTAGCTGTTCAATGCGCTTAGCAAATATGCAATGAAATTGGCAATAATTACCTTATTTTGTTTTTCATATCAAATGTTCTTTTGTCAACATTCTTACAATTTCATTGTGCATTTGTTTTGCGCCAACAAAGAAACGAAACAAGAACAAGAAAAAATCTTTTCCAAATCAACAACCACAACAAATTGCAATGAATATCAATTAATAAACAATAGCAACAGTAAAATTTCTCAATTGAAACCAAATTTATTCAGAAACAACGTTACAGCACTATACAATTGATATTGAAAGGAATTAAATCTTAAATTGTGTAACAACAATAAGTACAGTAGAAAAATAATATTTTATGTTCTGTAATGTGCAACACGGAAAGCAAAAGCTTTTACAAATACTACGAGTATATCTTCCTACATTTACATATAGTTTATGTTTCAACAATCAATAGACATAACAAATAGTTAACTTTAGTGAACAGGCTGCTGGAGAAACAGATAAAACCCATTTAAAACAAGAAACATCCAAACACAAACCGAAAACATTTAAGTTTATATTTAAGAGAAACAATCCGAAAATACTTGGGCGAACGATTACGAAACTCTTGATAATACTCGTAGTATATATGTGTCTACAAAACATCTAAAATCAAATATATTTGCCACACAACAAGAAGCTCTACACTTGCCGTAGGACTAGACCCAAAATTCATTTTTAAACGTACCGCCCAAGTATTCAACGAAACGGTAATTAAGATACCTTTGCTATGCATTTGATCAGTTTCTTTCAACTGTAAAACGTCCAAAAAAAAAAAAAAAAAGTTAATATCAAAAAATGGAAATTTGTAGACTTTGAACTTGAACTTAAAACCGAACCAAACTAAGAAAATTTAACGCTCCTTTCATTCAATCAAGAATCAAGAATAACAATAACAAATTACACGTATCATAGTCGATTCCCCCCAAACATATATTTTTTTTTTTTATTTCTGTGTGCAACCAACGATAGCAATATTTTCCAAATTCTGGCAATAAAAACTGTATTACATTTTTAATTTGTACTTCCGAGAAACCGAAAGAAATTTGTGTTTTATTCTTTTCGCCCGTAAAGCTGGAGAAAATTGTTATAATAATTAATTGAATTTGTGCAGCTGCTCTGTTTTATTTTGTGGCTGAGACATATATAGAAATCTCTCTTGAGCGGACAAGCACAGAACAGCTTACTTCATTTATAATTATACTAATTTGGCTCAGCTTGTTCTGCTGTCTAGTTTGGCAAACTGTTGATTAAGAGAACTAACACCGTATATATATATAGTTATTGTTATTGCATGCTGAGGCCTAAAAACTGCATTCGTCCATGTGAACTGTTCGCCGATGGCGCGACATGTTTGACTTATAGCTAAACTGCTTGCCGCAAATCTCACATGGGTAGATCCTCAGGTGCATGCGCTCGTGTGCCAATAGCTGGTAACGACAAGCAAAGCGCTTTTCGCACCTGTCAAAACTGCAGGAAAATTGCTTCAGTAGCTCGGCATTGGGATTCTTTTTACTATTCAGATGCTTTTTAATGTGCTGATTATAGGCGATTTGAAATTTGAATGTTGAGCCGCATTCGCGGCACTTAAATTCATCTTCCCGTACGCGATGCACCTGGTTTTCGTGATTCACCATGCTGAAGTAACGATCGAATAGGCAACCACACTCTTGGCAACGAAACTCAACGGAGCCCTCGTCTGCCAGCTCTGAGGGTTTTCTTTCGTGTCGCGAGACACGCTCGTGCTGCTGCAGTAGGCTGGCGCTATCGAAGCTAACGCCGCACTTGCGGCACACATAGTATCGCAGATTGTGGCTCATGTTGCTGTGCGTCTGCAATTTGGCTGTGCTGCTGAACACTGTGCTGCAGTAATAGCATATCAGTTCAGGGCACAGTCCCTCATTGCGTATCGCTTTGGCCAGAACGACGCCGTCATGTGCAATGGCGATGGCGAAGTTGTTGTCAGCTGGCGGCTCATCCGCCCAATCTGCATTTTCATCCATTACATCCGGACATAGCTGCGCGTCGAGCGTTTCGTAATCTTCATCGCCGTCGAACAGCTCCAGTTCCCCACTCACATCCTCAATATCAGACTCCAGATCGTTTACACTGTTCTCATCGTGGAGTTCCGTTGTTTTAATTGTAACGGGCTGTGCAAGATCTCCGACGTTTAGTTGGTTTTGTTGTGCGTTGCTCCAGCATTGCAATCGTTCCCATATGCTGAGCACTTCAGCCATGCAGGAGTGACATGCACAGGTGCTCAACTCCTGGACATCAGCCTAAGATCAGTCGTAATGGTTACCTTAAACATTGCTCAGACTCAACAAATAGAATATTTCTAACCTGGATTTGAAACGATGTAAACAGATGCTGCAGTAGCTCGGTTGCATGTTTGAATTCGTCAAGGTGCTCTGTACTACCAGCTTTATTTTGCACACATAACTTACAGAGGTCCATGAATGGTATAAATTTAAGAATTTAATAACAAAATAAAAACAAATATTCCAGCGCAACACAAATTGGCGAGCAACTCGATTAACATGGGGAGTAATGCTGTTAAGAAAGCAGAATTCTGTTAATGTAAACCATGTGGCAACTCCACAGAGCAAAAATCGATTGTTCAGTGTTATCGGTATTATTCTGCATTTCTTTCTATTCTGCGTTTTTTCGTCGGTGTTAAGTGCATAAAATTGTTACATTTGTGCTGTAATAATATAGTTTAAGTTCAAATAGTTGCCTAACAAAATGGTACGTACAACGTGTATGCACCGTCTGTGCTAATTCGCTGAAAAAACTATATGTTTTTACTAAATCGCGGCACTCGTTTTTTGGTGACGTGAATTATGCATGTGCGTGTGCTTGTGTATAGAATCCAAAAGCGGCCGCGTCACAAATTGTATGGCTGTTATTATAATGCAGCCGCACTTCGATTTTCCAAACATAAAACATCTTAATAATGCGTATTGCAATTGTTTCTCCATGTGCAGTCGTTTGCGGAAAAGTTAACGGGACTGATGGCGCGGCCAAATCAACAAGATCCAGCTGGCGGTCCAGAGCAGCCTTGGTATCTCAAATATGGCAGCCGTGTGCTGGGCATCGTTGCCGCATTCTGTAAGTAGCATATTATGTTTATCAGCCAGCAGCAACAACAACAACAACAGCAACAAGAACATTCGATTTAGCTATTTGCATCGATTTTTGTGTTCTGCATGTAACATTTTGTTGTAACAGTGCTTATCTGCTTGCTGGTGTGTGTATCAGTGTGTGTATCAGTGTGTGTAACCACCCACAATACTCACAGCACGCACACTCGGTCGTTCGGTCGCTCTGCGACCTGACATTGATAAAGGCAAAAAGCGCCAAGCAGCAACAACAATAAGAAAATGCTACAAAGGATACAGAAATGTTTCCATGTGTCTGTGAGTGTATGTGTGTGTATGCTCCACACATATGGCAGGGCAGCATATATTTCGCTCTGTCGCTTTCTATGTCAAGTTTGTTGTGCTAAGTGCATTTTCAATTTTCCTCAATGCATTTCGATTTAGTCATTAAATTGCCATCAATTTTGCTTGCTTGGTAATATTTTTATCAGTAATTAATTGGCACTCTCTTTGTTTTAGCTTACTCTCTCTCTCTCTCTCTCTCTCTCTTTGTTTTCTGTTGTTATGCATATATCCATTGTTCTTCATTTCCGCAGTTGCGATGACATTGAACCCGTTGTCTGATGGTTTTCCCTTACAGTTATGCGCGATTTTCAGCAAACAATTTTATTTAACCCGCATAAAACCCGCTTAAAGTTCAATGACACGAAGACTCTAACAACTATTTCTAGCATCGAATGGAGCTTAGTTGTAAATAGTTGAGAATCAGCTGCTAGCTGAATCATATGCCAAATGTTTCATAACAACTAAACCTGTGAGCAATAAATAGTAAATTAATTGAAAACAACAAGTAATCTAGCCCAAATGTCCGACTATGAAATACCCTATAACCCTATAACGATTTAGATTCCAGTAAAACATATGATGATAACTTTCATGCCATATTTTACGCATCCAACTGTTATAGTCTTTGATGCAAATGCTTTCAGGCTGAAAGTTGGGCGAAGAGATGCACATGGCTAGATCTACTCGGTTGTTCGATAATATACATACTTATTGATTGGGAGATGCCATCGGGTTTTCCTTTTACCTTTTTCCATTGGGTACAGGGTATGCAAAGCATCTAACACGGTTTACCTCCCCGAGTGTATTTACATTTATTTTCTTTAAAGAAAATTCAGTAGTGCGGCTTCCTTAAACCGGTTGTGTAATAAAAAAAACGCTGTGCTTTTTTAATTAATACTTATAACATTTATTAATAGCCGCTCGACAGAGCACAGCATGAGTTTGTGCATGGGTTTATTTAATTCTGCACCGCAATAACCTCTAAATTGAGATCAGCTTACAAAAGAAACTGGTTCGCTTTTAGTTCGCTTTCAATAAAATACTCTTAGAAGTTATGATAAGAGTGCATGGAGGCTATATAAATGCAATTGCCAGAGTTAGAAACTTGCTCAATTAGCACAGTCAGTTATTTGTTTACTTTGTCGCCAAAGTGTTATCATTTGTGTGCAACATTATTAAGTTGCCTGATAAACGCAAATCAGCTGATAAAATATTAAAATGTAGAGTGCGTACAAATGTTCGATAGATATAAGGCTTGCAGCCTCCTATATTTGAGTTTTATTTATAAATTGCATTGTATGCTTTCATTTCCTTACAACCAAAGCAAACGCACAAGCTGCAGCATTCATTTAACTTTTCTGTATAGATCATCAGCTTATAGAACTCACACAACAGATGTTTATTCTCCATTCATTTGCCAGATACCGCAGCGACCAATGTTCCAATTTGAACAAGTGTTATTGTTTGTCTTGTTACGCTTCTGTGCTCTTCGTGGCGTTTTATTATTTATTTTATATGTATTAACTTTATAGAAATAAAAGAATAAAAGCTTGTGGCAAATTTAGCAGTTGGATGAGTCAGTTTTTTATTTTTCTACTTTTTTGATTAGATTACGCTTGCAATGTTATACTATATAATATTTGTCGCGAAAGCTGAGAGATAATGAGGCCAAATGTTGGAGGCGTTGTTGATGGCAATATTTAAAATTTTTGGGCAGATTCTGCTTTAAACAGCATAAAGCTAGATAAATTGAATGTCTTTGTTGCGCGACTCAAACGCCCTCTTTTTGGACTTTTATCTAGCTATAAAACGCTTTAGTTTGTTGTATCTAATTTGCCTAGGGCTTATGATAAAATATCTAGCTTTGTGCACGCACAGCAAATGTGCGACATGAATCCAATTTAAGTAGATAACATGCATATAGACATTCAAATAATTTAGTTGGAGCTCCATTATATGTGTATGGAAATGTTGATAAATGTTGTTACCTTTTTCACATGAATCTTCATTAAACTGAAAATCGTTGAAAATATTCTTACACATATTTTCTCTCTTCGCTAGTTGCCATACTCTTCGGCCTGTGGAATGTGCTCTCAATTATTGGATTGAGCGTCTCATGCCTCGTCGCGGGCATCATACAAATGCTAGCAGGATTTGTGGTGATGGCGCTGGAAGCGCCTTGTTGCTTTATTTGCATCGAGAAGGTCGGCTCGGTGGCGGATATGATGGATACCAAGCCATTGTATTTCCGTGCGGGCCTGTACTGCGCGTGAGTAACACATGTAATAAACTAAACCGTAAACTAGCTGCTAATTGTTTGATCTTATCCTCACAGCATGGCGGTGCCGCCCATATTCATGTGCTTCGGCCTGGCGAGTCTCTTTGGCAGCGGCCTGATCTTTGCCACCGGCGCTGTCTACGGCATGATGGCGTTAGGCAAAAAGTGAGTAATTCTTGGAATCATTTATGGGCATTGACCCATACAACCAATTAGTTAGCTAGTTAGCTGTTAGTTTTGAAATGGAGCAGAGAACTAATACGAAAGGCACAAAATGCTAATCAAAAAATTGTTCTCTCTATTCCTTGAACCGCTTGCGCTGTGATTACGCTTACAATTACAACTAATGATATCTAACTTAAAAAAAAAAAAAAACAATAACAACATTTATTATCTAACACAATAATAAATAAAAATAAAAAAAAAATACAACAACACGAATTATAAAACAAAAGAGCTTCGCGCGAGGATATGGCCGCTGCGGCCACATCGCCCACACAAATGGCTGGCGGCCAGGCAGGCGGCCAAATGCAAATGGGCGGCGATCAACATATCACACTCATGGAAGATCCCGATGTTTGGCGTCCAACATAAATGCGCTAACCAAATGCATAAACTGCCAAAAACTAAGCATATGATAAACAATTAAACACACACAGACACACGCAAACACCCCCCCCAAAAAAAAAAAAAAACACATCACACAATTAGACAAGGAAATATCATAATGAAATATTGAGTAACAAATATTTTACGATGCATAGTTTTTAGTGTTCGTTCCAATTAAAATTAATATAAATAATGATTAAAACGTTGTAGGGCCGCGCAGAGATCATAATACACAATGTTGAATTCAGAATACAGAAAACAGAATTACAAAACACCCCACCAATTGAAAAATATAGAAACTTTTCATAATTGTTACTAAACGAAGAAAACACACAAAAAAAAAACAAAACAAAAAATGTTGACAAAATGTTGCGCAAATGCATTTTCTCCATATTTAGTCATTTGTCGTCCTTTGCATGCAGTTGCATTTTTCCATTTTTAAATGTCCTTTGTCGCACGAGGTGTTTTTGAAAAGTACAGTTAAATATACAGATATATATATAAATATATAAATAATATATATTAATAATAATACATGTGAAATTTATTTTTAGTGAGAAATTCTATTGATAACTAAAAAGAAACACACGCTAAATATTGCTATCGAGCAACAGCTTCCACACGGCTAAAGTACACAAATTACCTGCAACATAAAAGATAATGTCAAGAATCGTAGAGCAATAAATACAACTCAGAGAGAGCATTAACTTAATATATTTGATTGCTTGAGCATAATACAAATTTAAATGTTAAAATGTTAAACAAGATAAACAAACGTTTGTTTTTATCATTTGCTCAAGAGATAATGTAACAAATATCAAATGTAGAAGTCCAATTTGCGGAATTGTTCATAATTTATTCTTATTTTTGTGATTGTAATTAAACATGAGATGTGCATCTTATAAATTAATCAATGAATTCAAAAGGTTGTACCTTTACTGTATTCAGCTTTAGATTCTTTTGCTAAGTAACAAAAATGTATTATAACGATTCAAAATGTATACTGTATGTTCGGCTATGGCCGTTTCTCTATTTCCAATATTCTTTTTGTTACATATATGACAAGTTTGTTCATATATATATATATGTATATGTATACTTGGATATAGCCTTTAGTACTTCCAGACTTCAGTCTGCCAAATAATATTCATATATTAATACTCAGCTGTTGATAAATTATTTATCGGATAGCAGCATGATACTAAATATCGTGGGCTAAGTACTCACAGAGTTCTGAATTTATAACTGGTTTATGTATTTATAATCAAAAATATATTGTTTAATCACATACAAAATACTCGCAAACAAAACATAAAAAGCATAAACATCCTAATAGATCCATATTGGCATCCAATGTGGCTTTCTCTATATAAATGCATACTCTCTGATTACTTGTTACAAATCACTTTCTCGCAAGCAGCCAGAACAGAGTCCTAGCTTAATATATCTTACATATAGTTAAAATTAGTTAATTAATTAATTATGCATAACGAACGCAACACTAAAAATCATTCAAGTAAAATATTCTGTTTAAAACTTAACTGATATAACATATGTACATTATGCTAAAGAATTGTTAATGCCAAACTGCCCCAGAACAGTCCAGTTAATGCCAATTTGCAGCCTGCAGCAAGTCAACTACATAAACTTCAACAACAACAGCAAGAAGTACGCTAATGTCAAGGCAATTCATTTTTGTATAAGCAATTCTCTTAAGTATTTCGAACGATTGTAGTTTAGACATTTTTTAGTCACTTTTATTTTCGAACTTGAAGTTCTTTCTAAATGCACTTGCTTTTAATAAGTATTTATATTATTTGGTAGTCCCTTTATATACTTTTATATAAATAATTTTTTTTTTTTGTTAGCTGACGACTCACGTAACCGGCTACGGATTTTTAATGTTTCAGTTTGTCATCTCTTTCTTTATTTTACTACGATCAACGGTTCATCGTGGACGGATGCGTTGTTAGCTTCATATATTTATAACCTTTAGTTTCCGATTTTCATGATGTATTTTAGTTTGTTTTCTACTCTTTCTCTCTTGTACTTATATTGTTGCAGTTTGCATGGGCTTTTCCACGTTTATTCTGCTTATAGATAAGGCATATAAGTTATATAATTGACATAGCTATTGATAGTTGTGGCATATTGTTTACATATTTCATATTTCTCTTCATGTACTAGTCTTTTGATATTCTTTTCGATAGTATATTTTCCCTTTCTGGTCAATAATTCAAATTTTATTTTTGCCCTGAACCCATTCCGATTTATTCTTAGACATTTTTATTTAGCAGTGTTTGACTTTATTGGCTTTTTCTTTTCTTACTTTGCTTAGTCTGCTAATCACACTCTTCTTTCCCGCTTTCGCTCTGAGCTTATCATTCACTTATTAATAAATCACTTAACAAATTGAAACGCTGTTAGCCTTACATGAATTAATGAGAATCACATAGAAGGGCGGCATTTTAATGGGATAACTAGGGGAGAAACTATTTGTTTCTCTCCAACTCTCGTTTTAAAAAAGCACGCTACTATGCTATTTTCCAAAATTCAAAATACCCTTACACGGTGTTAGTGATTTATTAAGAAGTGGATTGATAAAAGTTTAATTCAAAGGTTAAGAGTGCGAGTGGGAGATGAGGAAGTGTGTAGCAGGAAGAGTATTTATTTAGGTGTATGTGAATAAAATATGAGTTAATTCGAATGTGTGTTAAACCAATACAGACTTGGGTATAAGGTTTTTCCTAGACGAACACTCTCGGATTAGAGCACTCGCACTTGTTTAACGTTAACAAACATAGTTGTTTAATAATTGGTCTACGCTTAGCAATACTCCACAGTTCCTAAGACACACATTCTTAATAACTTTCTATTTATTTAACATACTTTCCAGTATTATGTTGTATTATAGTGTGTTCAGTTTTGGCAGGCTTGATGTGGTAGATATGCCATGTCGTTATTTTTGTACTTTTGTCTAAATATTCGCTTTCCTAACTCATCGTAGAGCCTCCGCCGCCGAAATGCGCGCCGCGGCACAGCAAGCATCATACGGTGGCAATGCGGCGCCAACAACCAACGATCGGGCGGGCATTGTGAATAATGCGCAGCCCTTCTCCTTCACCGGTGCCGTGGGCACGGACAGCAATGTGTGATGCAATCGGTAATGGAATATTTGGATCGTGGCTGGGATGTGCGGTGAGAAAACAAGACTCAAAACGCAACGCAACGCATTAAAGGCAAACTACAATATACAAAAAAAAAAAACAAAAGAAGCAAAGTAAAGCAACATCACAAGGCAAATTTCTAACTAACGTGTGCAATTTATTGTTGGGTATCAATTTCCAACCGGAACCTAAATATAAAGGATCTCTCTCGGTGTAGAGCTGAAGACAATGTTTATAAAACTGAGCAGATAATGGAAACCTCAAAGAACCTCTTCAAATAAACCGTCTAATCATTGATTAAAGTTTTTGTATTAAATGTTTTGGCGTTTTCTGTTTTATATTTCTAATTGTTGCCTGTGTATCATTCCAATTCCAATTTTTGGTTTTAATGTTAAAACAAAAAAACAAAAAATCAGAAACTTATTTAAAATTTAGTAAAAATAAAACTATAATTGACCATATTTAAATTAAATTATTGAGCGATGGCATAATTGTATGCAATTTATGTTTAGTCATAGTTTAAATATACATATAATATATTTAAATGCATAATACAAATAAATATAAATATATATATAAATAATTAAATGTTTGTAAACCATATTAAAATTGAATTATGCATACCTTAAATTATGTTAAATAAAATTAATTATACATACATTCAGCTTTTTTGCGCTCTTTATAAACTTTATTGTCACTTAATTGTTGTTCAATAATTTACAAATATTTAATGTTAAAATCTACATTCTATTGCATTTGTGGTTTGTGAAACAATTTTAGCATAAGCATAACAGTTAACGAAAACATTTAAAAATATTCTTATGTAATATGATTTATGCATCATTCTGGGAGCTGTCGTTGCCGGAGTCTGCAATCTCTTCCAATACAATCTCATCATCATCTGTATCATCATCTTGTGCCGCATCATCGCCATCTTCATCGGCTTCAATATCACCGTCTGCACCGTCTTCTTCGTCAGCCTCCTCCTGCTGATCGTTGGAGCCTTCCCAGCGGAAACGACGGTCGCTGATTTTCTCCTCGCTACTTTCGGCAGACGCCGCAATGATCACAGCAAAGAGCGCTACATAGAAACGCATAGACAATTGAACATTGTTTTATGTAACTAAAGAATTGCTTAACTTACCAAAGCTCATGATAAGGAACTTGTTGGATAGCATGTTAAATGAGTTGATTTCTCAGAAATATTCAATGCTAACTGTTGCGTCGGCTGTCCCTTTTATAGTCAAATTTTGGCATGCGCCTTTAGCCAAAATTTGCAGTGACTGGCGCTAAAATCTATTTGTTGTTAAGCAGCTGTACAAATATTAATGTTTTTTTCTAAATTTATGTCATAGTTATTAGGTCAGCGCTTCACAGTTTGCTTATGCTACAGTTCATTGACAATGCTTCATTTAAATTAAGTTTATACAGTGAGATTTCAAGTTATTGGGTCAAATATTCAATAGCATATAGCATACCTCGATTTTTATCTGTATTCCATTTATAATCCATACTTGCGAGTGAAGTTTTCCATGCCCCCGTCTTGGCTTTCATATACATCACATTCAGCTTCCTAGCTTCCACTTACGCTTTGGCTTCGTATTGATCGATAGATTCAATAATTGTTTAATTCCTCAAGGAACAATTTGTTCATAAATGTTTTGTTCGCTTTTTCTCTGCTCATGTCTACGTTATATTTTCTGTAATATCGTAATATTTATCTCAACTGAACAAAAGTACAAAATATCTTGTATTCTATCATTTTATTTGGGAAACATTTTCTTATCCGAACCGGAGAATGCACGACCTTAAAGCATATCTTTAGGCTGCGCAGGGTGTTTTTTAAAATTGCGACTAGACCAAGACGTATACTGCATACTTTCGAGGATTACTAAAAAGTATTTTGATTCGCCTAAAATATGTCCATTATAAAGTTGTGAATATGTGTATCCCTTGGTAATCCGAGGCGCGACTTCGTTGTTGGCGTTACAAAAACTTTCTGAGCTATAACTATATTATGTAGTATGTACACTTGTGTAAATTGGTGGGTTTTTCTTCGCTCTTATTCTAATTTGTCTCCTCACAGGCATCAATCCAGTCGTTATAGACGTCGACTGGTTCCGATAGGGATATGATTGTCGTTTGATAGGATTCCTGACATACGCGACATATAATGCGACCTACCTTCCTTAATTTGTCCCTAATTAGGCAGATAATGGTTAGATAAATGATTTTGGGCGTATCCTCCAATTAACACTTACAATATGACATCGCAGGAACGCTCGTGATTACAAAAAGGACAATTAAACTGCTTTTCCAGACTCTGGATGTTTTTACGCTTTGGCGGCGGCTTGCGCTTGGACTTGCGACGTCCCATGCTTAAATCTCAGTAATCTAACGGCGAAACTGGGCAAATAGCACATTTTTTGGGGTAATACGTACAAAATAAAGTAAAAACTTACAATACTCGTCCTTTGCCCTTGTTCGTTAAGTCTCAGTAATCTAACGGAGAAACTGTGGAGATTAACACAATTTTTGGAAAAATACGTTTGAAATAGAGTAAAAACTTACAATACTTTGCCTTGTCCGTTGTTCCTTGGCTCACGTTCAGCTGAGAACTAAATTATTGGTAAATTCTCTCATATTGCTAAGGGGCCTTATTTTTCTTTTAGTGACAGAAATATCAAGGAGTGCTTTGCTTATCATTTTTTATTCAGGAAATACTATTTAAAATCTGAGACTGATTTTTCTACGCTTACTTCTTTTTATAACTGAAATATCAAGGTGTACTTTGTTTTGCCTTTTTCTTAAAGAAAGACTGATAAATGAAACGATTTCTTTAATGTCAATGAATTTGACTTTCGTATTAAAAGCCTTCCTCATTGTTAAGTACTTGTAGAGAATACGTTTAAGTGACAGAAATATCAAGGTATATACATTTTAAATTTTTTTTAAAGAAAGCATAGTCTTGGTTTTCCTTCATCCTTTTTATACTCTTGTGAAATTTTATTTTAAAATGTCTTACACATGGCAATATATATATATATATCTTATCAGTATAAACAGGCGAGTCGGGATAGTCATGTCCGTCTGTCTTTTCACATTTTAAGCTATAATCATATACCAAACATGCCTTTTAGGTTGGACTAAAATATATTCTAGTTCAGAATCAACAGCCGAGTTTATATAGGCATTTCTTTCCGCCCTTATGCCCGTCCCTTCATCTGTTCGTCCGTTCATCCGTCCGTCTGTCTTTCTGCTTCTATGTGTAATAGTCTTATATCATCTGGCATCTTATTTCACCTTGCATTGGTTATTCTGTTATAGACAGAACATATGTTGAAACCGGCCGGATCGGACCACTATATCATATAGCTGCCATAGAAAGGATCGGCGACAAAGTAGGTTCTTGTATGAAAAACTGTAAAAAGCTATCTTGATCAAACGCAACAATTATTAAATCAATATGGTCCTCGAATATATATATGTCTGTCATAAGAACGATAGGAAGAAAAGTAATTTTTATCAAATATCTGCAAAAGTCAAATGTGTACAAGGTTCTTAAATCTTCGGCGTGCCGAAGACATCCTTACTCTCATGCCTGCAAGTAAATTCAAATGTTAACCGAATTTCTTGTGTGATATGCCCATTTATTCAGCTACGAGAAGCCTGCCTCTATTACAAATTTGTTTGATATTGAAACCACACGAAAACTCAATTGATTGTGCCCACATCTGTTAAGGATCTGGGCAGATGCCTCTTATCTAATGCTTTTGTTTGGTTTTGGGTTTTGCTTTTTATATTTTATTTTATATTATTCAATGTAGCATAAAATCGCTTGTCTATTGTGAAAGATACTCAACTGATCTCGTGAGAGTATCGATTACAGGCTGCGCAATTTAGTTGAGGGGCAAAGATATGTTTAGATCTCTGTTGATATCGTTGCATGTGGGTCAAGTGTTTGAGTTTGGATGCAGGACTTATATATCGCTGGCAAAGGCTTTCCCACAGTTGCGTTTGAAGCCAGCGAATGCCGAAATTTTTCTGGCTAAAGCATCGTAGATTTGAACAAAACACTCAAACTCTGACGACAGCTCAATACGCAGCACGATGCTCAGACAACCTGCTGTTTAACATATTAGCACCAGGACATCCCAGGGCAACGGGTGGTGTTTCACAGGACAGCTGAAAGTGTCAACAGTCGGCGGCGGCGGCGGCGGCGGCGGCGGCGGCGATGGCAAAGCAAAAAGTGAGCTGTAAACAGTTTGTGCCTGGCATGAAATTGCTAACAAAATAGTTTGCCAAAAAGTTGACACTGGCAGCAGGCGGCAGCCAGGACGCAATGGAAGCATTTCACAGCACAACAGGATATATTGGATATGCAGCTGTGCAGCACATTTATTGCATTCGCCACGCTTTTTTCAGGGCACAAAAACAAAAATAACGCAACGATTTCAATTTATTCGCTAAATGGGTTTAAAATTTCATCAGGCTAGTTGATCGAGCTGCTTCCTGGCCAGCCTAAGACGCTGCTTCCGCCTTCCGACTTTCATCAATTGCAGCCTTCTTTTGTTGGATATTTCGGGCCACATCATTTCTATTAATCTCCCTGGCCAGCATTTTTGCCAGCTGCTGCTGCTGCTGCCGTTGGCCATTTGCCTTTTGTGGTTCCTCGGCCAGTTGACCGGTTGCCGTTGGCCAAGTGCTCGCTTGGCTTTTGTTTGGCCTACTTCAATGCCCTGCCGACGCGTCCTTAAATGCATTCGATGCTCCTTTTTTTTCTTTTATTTTTTCTTTTATTTTTGCTACGTTCTTGTTACTTTTCTGCTGCTTTGTGTGTTCATTTGCTTAAATGCATCTTATCCTGTTAAAGTGTGCGCCTTCTGTTCAGTGTCCTTTCGCAGAAAATTGATCTTTTTTGCAAATTTCCTGCAGTAGCCCGGTTTTTGTCTTCCTTAACGTGCTTTCGAGCGCATCTTAATTGAGTTTTTCTTCCTTCATAGCTGCAGATAATGTTACTGTAACGCAAGACCTAAGTTCCGTTTGATTTTCAGCGATTGTTCATTTCTTTTAATGCTCTAAAAGGACTTAGAATTTCCCAACATGTTTGCCCAATTATGTGAAAAACCTTTGTTAGATTTACCCAAAGCTATTCAATGAATAACTAAGCCCGTTGAAATTGTTGCGTTTTTTTTTTATGGCTAATAACTTTTTATCAGCAGTTTCATTTTATTGAATACCCCCTATTTATCAATAATAAAACTCAACAGTTATTTGGTAATTGTAAGCTACATATAAACACCATCAAAACAAGAAAAAAAAACTTTATTAACAATACACAATCTCATAAAGAGGCCACACCTGAGGGATTTCTCCACCCAAAGGCAGAACCAATTGGATAAAAGCTTTTTTAGGCATAAAAATTGTTGTTCTTTCTGCCCAATTAGTTGCTTTAAATACCATAAAATTATTATGTTGAATATTTTTGTGGGCTGATTGGATTTTTATATTCAATGCCCATATCGTGCTGCCCCGCCGCCCCTCCGTCTCTCTGCGCCTCACTCATATTCCACTCAAAGTAATATTTCATCGAAAATGCGATGCGCCAAGGCGCCCAAAACATAATTATTAATTAAAATTCCCAAATCAAAATCAAATTACCACTAAAAAAAGAAAGATGCATAAATTTTTGTAAAATGACAACCGTACACACAACACACACACAAAGCACACTCAGCTGCAGTCTGCCTGGGTTGGGGAATGGGATGCCTGTCGCCAGCGTCTTCCGCTTTGCCTTGGAGCAACTTCCAAGAATTCTGAAACTGGAAAATGCTATACGGAAAATGCATATTATATGAAAATTAAATTATGCATAATTATTATTTTTTTGTAGCTGGCATTTAAACAAAACTAGCGTGGCGAACAGGCAGAAAGGGCAGGCCCATAAAACTGTCATAAGGCGGTAAAAATGTGAGGAGCTAAACTAGATATGGGGAATACTTAACAAGTTTTTCATTTTCTTTTTGTTGCGACACGTGTGCCTACAAAATCCGTAAGAGTACGGGGGCAAAACACTATACAACAAGGTTTTCAGAACTATAAAAAAACTTAAAGAACATTTCTTGTATGATAAACTAAAATTTGCTCTACTAAAAATCAGAAATAATAGAAACTGAGCATATATCATATAATGTTTACCCTAAATAAACCAATTAAAATATATTCTTCTACATTATGAATCCAAGAATTTCGTTTACATAGTTATTATGTAGAAATTGGTTATAATAGGCGCAAATAAATTGGAATATATTTATCTTAGGGTTATCTTATTTAGTTTTGCTTAGCATATTTTTTCCATAAGACTGCGTAGTCCGCTTCTTTCACACTGTTAGCCCATATATTCCCATTTATAGACCAAGTCCTCTATAAAAGGCGATTCGTATTCATATAGTGCTCAACTTTGTTGCACAGTGTAATAATATTTCCATAAAACCAATGAACGCGCTGAGGGCAAAAATGTTTTTGTGCTCAATTAGCGTATAACATTGTCACAACCTTCCGGCAGCCCCCAAGGCCCCGTGTTCGACAACATCAACAGGTAAAAAGCTGATTTGGTATGCGAAGGTGTGAGCAGGGCTGAAGGGAGCAGGAGTTGCCACATTGCATAATCGTTAAAATGGATGAAAACCCTTTTTGTCTAATGCTCATTTTCATGCGTTTTCCCGGAAAATTATGGCCACAAAGTGCTCGGGCATAGTTTTCCATATTTTTCCCTGGGCTTACGCGTGGCCGCGATTTAAATTATGACAACGAGGAGCCCAGCTCGACCCGACTCGACTCGCCTGGGTGCCTGGGTGCCTGGCTTCCTGGCGCCAGACCCGTTGGTGGCCTCTTGCATTTGGATTGGGTTTGGGATTTTGTTTGTCTGCTTAACGATTTAAATAATGTCTGGGCACAGGAAGGATAACAAGCGCTATGGCGCTTCCCTGGAACAATAAATTTTCAATTCGAGCTTGCAGCAGAGCATAATAATGGGCAGGTGGCAGGGGCAACTACTAAGTAGGAGGTGCAGCAGCAGCAGCAGCAGCAGCTGCAAATTGGGACAAACTAATCTTATCAAATATTGACAATAACCCAATTAGTAACCACCTACAGCATAGAAACGTTGCAGAAGACAAACAAACATTGCGCAAAAGGTTTCATCCTCATCTTTTATTTCTTCAGAAATGCTACTAGGGAAGCTGTCAGCCCGACTGAGAATGGGACTGCGAGTAAGACATCAAGGAGGCAAAGTCGCAGGACAAATATCAAACGCAGCTGCCGTCAGGACAATGCGGATAAGTCAAATCGCAAGATGCTCGCGTCAACCATAAAACTAGCCAGAAAGATAAAACGCACGCCGGACCCAAAACCCGAGAGTCCGCACCAGGACCGCCCCTGGCGAACGCTACGAGTTTTGGTACACGCCAGGCAGCCTCTAATTTGTGAAACTTGCCTACAGTTTAGAAAGCGACGGGCAGTCGCCGTCGCATTGGTAAGTCCCTCAGCGAAACCCTAAACAAAAGAGCAACCTCCTACTTGCCATGACATTTGAGATTTTGCAGTCGATGATTTCCAATGCCGGACAATGTCGTTCAATTCTATAGAGATGTTCTTTTTACTTTTTTTTTTTTTTTCGTTCAGCTCGTGAAAAGCGCAATTCTAACTGGCCACAAAAGGATCCGAAAATTTGCCATAATCATGACGTTTTGTAGTTTACCTTTTCGTAGATACTGTGAGCATTTGTCTCAGTGTTTCCGCCTGAATAGTTGGATACATCTTCTTTATAACATAATCGTTGTAATGTTGCGTCTTTATGCGACTTACCTAAACAGAACTGAACAGTGAGGGGGTGGAAATACGAGTGTAAATGGATGAGCCAGCTATAGAGTACTTTTTCTGTGTATTTGATTGTTGATCATGATCTACAGAAAAGTAACTTGTTCTTTTATGGCTGAATTTCGAAAGATTTCCTGTGATTATCTTCTATATGTTCCCAAAGCCCAAAAGCCTGAACATTTTTTGCCACAATAGTTATAAATTATTTGATGATATTTGTAGCTTGACTCCGTCCAAATTGAACTCCTTTTGAAAATATCAATTTTTATATGCATTTAATGCTCGTAAATATTGCCATATACAAATGTAGATAGAACGGAAGGGTCAAACTATAAATTATCAGGCTTTCATGGGTCCGGTGAGAGAATGTACAATAAATCGCCAATAAATGTTTTTCATTTACTGAAAACGTAACTCATGAATATTTCAGCAAAAAACAACTAAAGGCCATAAAAATAAAATGCAAAATGTGCGACAGACGCCAAAGTAAAACAACAAATAACAAATAAACAAAAATAATGCACAGTTTTATTTAGGTGCAGGTTTTTCTTTTCTGTACCTTTTTTTTTTTTTTGTCTTCTTCTCGTATTGGTAGATGAGAACTGGAAGCTGGCCAAAAGCAACAATCACAAAAGTAACCTCAAAAATTTCAATAAAGACCACAACAAAGCAATTTATATAAAAATGCCACAGAGAGCAGGAGGGGTTCGAGTAGTGTGAGAGCCAAAACAACGACAGGCAGACGGCAAATAGAGCAAAATATTGGATGGGTAGTGGGGGCTATACTGGTTGGGGACCCGGCACGACATTTTAACAAAACAATAGAAATCAATTGATTGCGTTGTGGGAAGCTTAGCACTTGATTTCCGTTGTGTTGTTGTGTTTGGTATACAGCCAGGGGTAAGAGGGGGGGCTAGGCAGTTAGCCCTGGCCCAGGCGGTGGCGTAGGGAGAACGGGAGGATTGCGTGCGCCACCAAAAAAAAAAATCCAAAGGACTCGATGCTGTTGTTGTTGTTGTTATTGTCGCGTTACTGGCGCTGCGTTGGTGCGGCTAAAATTCTATTTTTCCAATTTTTGCGCAATTTATTGCATTGTCAAGGGATTCGCAGCAGAGCAAAAGCAAAAAAAAAAAAAAGAAAATGAAATGAAAAGAAAAGCAAAAGGCATAAGAAAAACACCAAATACAAATACCAAACAAGTTAAGGCCTCGCTCGATATTAATAGAAATCGATTGCCAAATACCATGTAAACTGCTTTCACATGGTAAACAAATATTGAATATAAAATATATAAGGAAATTATGAAATAAAATATATATGTAAAAGCATAAATGTAAAATATAAAACATAATATAAATATGAACTACAAACATATAAAAAAATTTAAACGTAAAGTCAAAAATATTAAATATTAAATATAAAGTATTAAATATAAATTAAACAATAATAATAACAAAATAAGAAACATAAAATAATAACTATTAAATTGTTTATAAGTTAAAACTGATAACCTTGCGATCCAAGTCAATTCTGTCTTCAGCGTGCGTATAAAATATGATGTTTAATTCCTTTTAAAGCATCTGAAAAATTTAGTTTATATTTTAAATAGTTAAAAGTAGAATAATATCAATTAATTATCACCTAACTGGTGCACTTATATAAGAGATCTTAAGCAAACTTATCGAAGGTTACAGATTTCATTTGCATACCCTTTAAATTGGAGTACAGGGTATGAACACCAAATACAAATACCAAAACATAGTGCGGCTTGTTCGATGGTGTATCCTGGTGGGTCCTGTGGTACGTCTGTCTGTGGCTGGGGTTTGCTTATGGTGCTGGGGCTTTGGGGCTTTTGTGTGGCAAGCGTAAAAGTAAACAAAGCTAAAAGCGGAAACGCAAGTGAAATAATGCCGCAGAGCTGCACGGAACTGAACAAAGGCAACAACAACACGACATCAGCAACTAAACATCAATAAGCATTGACTAACTGGGATGCTGTAACCAAGGAACCTGGCAACAGCTCCTCCGACTGGCAACTGGGGAGTCACAGCATTAATAGCTGAAATTAAATAATCGCTCCTTAAGCGAAACGTCGACGACGATGACGACGACGACGACGACGATGTCTGCATGCAGCACAAAAGAATAAGTGAAGACCCAATTGGGATTTGGTTTCGATTGAATAAAATTAATTTTAATTGGTTCTGTCGGGTTGAATAACGCTGCGGGAATAGTGTGCGAATGATTTGTTGTACTTGAAACTAAAATTTGTATTACATAAGAACTATGCACGTACCCAACTTCGATAGATTTCTAATCAGAAGCTATTCAAGCTTAGCCGCACATCTTTCAGCTGCCTTTTAATGTGTGACTCACAGCCAGGCTATGAGTCATGGGGCAGAGGTGTATTAAAACCGTAGCAACCCTCCATAAACTACCCACAAGTGTTGTCAGTCTACAGATTTTTATCGCAGCATACCAAAAAAAAAATAAGGAGAAGAAGAAAATCCATTAGACTTTGACAGACGTGCGTTTATTAATAAAATTTTTATTATATTCCTCGATAGTTTAGAAAAGGAACCTAACCTGATAAGCATCAGCTTCATAAAGGGTAGAAATAACAAAAAATACATGGAATCTAGGTTTTATGTATGCATTTTACCTGGAACGAAATATGACAAAGAACGGTTTCAGTTTGGGTTAAGGCTGAAATAGGCTACAGCTGTTTAGGTCTGGTCCACACCTGTTGATAAGGCGGCTAATTTTGTGTGTGCCCATAAAAACAATATCTGTATGTGTGCATGTGTTTGTGTTTGTATCTAGCAAATTAGTCGATGATTTAGTTAGCCAAAAGGGTTCAAGGATTCTGGTAGCACACACACACAACGTCATACCATATGCTTGGAGCCTTGTCTCTTGGGGTCGATTTCCGACTGTGAAGTGTGAATTTCTGGGCTGTGGCCAGAAACTTTGCTGAAAGTCGAAATGTAATCAAAATAAAAGTAAATAATAAAAGGTAAAGGCAGCATTGCCTACTGTGCCCAGTCTGTCTGATTGTGTTAAACGATTCGTGCGCACAGCTGATAGACAGCTGCGGGGCCAGGGAGAATTTGGGGGGGATGGCTGAAATCAATGCCACAATCAAAATCATTGCAACACAAAACTTGTCTAAGCCTTTTTCGTTCAGTCCTGAACTATCTGTCTATGCCTTGAAGGATGCAGCCAGTCGAGCATGTTGTTGTTTATTTTCTTGCCTTTGGGGAATGCCTGGCAACAATTTTATTATCCCTTTGCCGACTGTGTGGGAAAAAAATTCTATATTAAGATAAACATGAGCCTTTTGATTTGTTGTTGTTTGTGCTGTCGCTGTTGTTGTTGTTGTTGTTTTTGTTGTTGCTGTTTGCAGCCTCAAGTAGCCTGAACGTTGATTGAATCTTAAGCCAGCATCCTTTTTGGGAACCTTTTGAAAATTTGATTTTAGGTTAAACGCAATTAAATTTCGCCTAAAGCTCTGATTTGATTTACTCAGCTCCTTCTCAACAGTTTCTTGTTTACGCTAGAGAAAATTGAAATTTTATGCATTTTCCCATAGTTTGTTATTATTATTATTGTTGTTGTTGTTGCTGCTGCTGCTGCTGCTGTTGGTTTAGGCTCTGCGGCATTTGCTCAGTGCGGTCAGCTGTCGAAAGGATTTGAAATTATTTTGCTCCTTTGCTTGTTGTGGGTGCTCGCAGGCATGGCAGGCGTTGATTAATTGATTTTATATATGCACTAGTAGACCAAATACTATATATGATAAACCATCTATGCCCTAAACAATTGCAATGCATTTTATTTGGATTAGAACTGTGTGGGATTTTCGTCTCTGCTAATTAGTTTTTGAGGTTTCATTTTATTTGAGGACAGTTGAGTTATGCACTCACTTGCTTTAAGCTTAAAGGCATTTGAATGACTTTATAATATTGCTCGAATCATTAAATATAAATTATCGGACGCAAACAAAGATTTTAATTGTCCCTAATGAGACATAACTAATGCATCAATTCATTTCGTTTATATAAACATAAGCTTATTCTGTATATTTTCAGATCCTAGGCCCATCCGAAAATGGAAAGCAGCTGCCATGAGGCAGAGAGTTCTACAGAGGTAAGTCATATAAATGCTATCTACGAGTCCAATCTTCAACTCTCTATTTAATTCTCAACGAATTTCATTAGGGTTTGGTTATCTATTCAATTTTCTTCAAATATGCTTAGCTCCTTTATGTGTTTTGTTTTCATGCACTGACATTGTCAAGTTCAATGCCAAAGCAAATGTAGTTTCAATGAGGTTCAGGGCGCTTTTGAGCCAACAACTAGACGTTGGCATATTTCACGCTCACTTGGCCGCCAGGCGAAAAAAATGTTATTGCCAAAGCCAAGACGTTGGGCCAAGTCTAAGCTCTGTAAATGTAAAGCTTGCCAAGGCAGCCGTATCCACTGAGGAGCGCGTCAAGCACATAAAATTCAATAAAACGCATATTTGCTGTCATTTGTTCCGAGTTTTGGGCGCCAAAGTGCCACAAAATTTGCTGGAGTTGCTGGGAAAGCGACGAAAATGGCGCTAAACTTGCTAAGAAAACACAGACAAACAGACGGCAGAGCAGACAAGTTGCAACATTTTTATTTCTCATCTGCCATCATCATCATCATCATCATCATCGCCATCACCATCATATTCAGTGTCGGCGTCATCATCATCATCATCATGTTGAAATGATTATAAGCATTTTTGGCTGATTTAGCATATTTTCGCCGCTCGCAATTCTCTCTCGCTTTCTCTCTGATTGGCACGCACTTCCGCTTCCGCCTTTTTTGGTTTGACGTTGGCCTAAAGACTTCCGCTTTCAGCGGTGCTCTAACTTCATTTTCATCTTTTTTTGTCCGCCATAAACTTGACAGTTGTTATATATACCCAGACAATAAGAGCTATAGAGGGCATATTACTCCTTGCCTCTAGGTAGGGTCTGCTTTTCAACATCCTTAAATCCGGACTTTTGTTAAAATCTACGTTTTTATATTTTTAATTTACAATTGCCCGTTGTACTGAAAATATTGTTAATAGTAAATATTTTCATATGCAAAGGCGGGCTACATTTAATTCCTACAAAAAATGTAATCTACCAAAGATATTTGGATATATGCTTTGAAGCTGGATCTTCCTTAAATGTATTTTGAATCCAACTGCAGTTGCTCTTTGGTTGGTTGTGGTTCAAACCTAGTTTGCAGCCTTGTTCTGATAGCCAACTAAGCTATAATATAGGGTATCTCTTAGCTTTGCATTGTTTCGCATAAGCTTGTGTTTTTACGGTTTGTTTTTATATGTCGGCTGCGGAATTGGAGGCTGACAATGTCGGAGCTGGGTGGGTAAATGTGCAAATTTGTTTTGCTAATGTTTATGCAAATACGCGGGAGCACATCAAGAGTCGCACTCGGAGTTGGAGTTCGTATACAAGCTGGTACACTCATCTTTATATGATGTCGACTGTTGCTGTTTATGAAAATGTCTCGTAAGTAGATGGTTCTGCTCCACTCAGCCTTATCCACAGCTTCCTTGTCTCTTCTCCGGTCCGCCACGCTCATTGTCGCGTCTTATGTAAATTTAATGCTAAAATGTTTATTTTAGTAAGATTTGCTTAGCTCTCCAAATGCTGCGTCTGTTTTGCTCCTAATGTCTTGGTGGGCGGGCGGTCTGCTGAGCGTTGGGCGTGTTGCCCAAAACCTGGCGTCGTCCTTTCACATTTTGTGGTGTGGCTGGGATGGGCTGGGCTGGTCATGGGGGTTGGCGGGGGCATTCATATAGCGTCTATAATGCTAAACGACGCATAATTGAAACATTATGTCAGATTATTGTTAGCAAGCGCAGAGATTTACTTAGTTGGCATTTTTTTTTCTCCCTCTTGCTCTGCAAGTTCTTGTGCGGTTTGTTTGCTAGTAAAATTGCTAAAGGAGCTGGAGGATAAGTTTGTGAAACATACGAGCGATGTCAAAGAGATTTGCTTATTTAATGCTGCCCACACATAAGAGTAAATATGATGGCAATAGTAAAATATTTTTGGGGTAGATAGTGGCTTGAGTAATGGCAAGCGATAAGAAAGCTCAAAGTTGAGGCATGAAACTTGTTTGGGGCGTAATGCTAAAAGAAATGAGCACAGAGTTTATAGCTAGGCTTTTCTGTGGAACTAAAATAGTAAATGCAAACTTTATCCTGAAAGGTCAAACCTCAAATGGACTATGGAAATTGACACGTTTAAGAAAAATCCAACTTTTTTTTTGGGTATTGTAAGAAAAGTTAAGTTTTTGAGAATGTTTTAATTCCTGACCCAAATTTCTATATTTTGTTGCATAAGCTGAATTGTTTTGTGATAACAAGTATATTGAAATATTTATTATCGCAACTTATTTTATTTTAACTTGCAGTTTTTCCTGCCTCTCTAAAAATTAGATAGAAGTGGGAATTTCAGTTACCTATTATATATTTTGAGCTACATGTTCAATACGTTTGCTTCGTTCAAAATCCAATCCTAGCTCGTATGACTAATGATAATTTAAATCGCATGTAAACCGAGCTCATTTTTCCGCGTTAAACCAACAAAGCGAAGCCAAAACTTTTAAATTCCCCCAACATTTTGCCATTAATATCACATTTATCAATATCACAGTTTTTCATTTCATTTCATTTCTTCGTCGTCTCGCAAACGTATTATTTTCTTTTATTTCCTGCACTGCTTTTTTTTATGTGCAATTTTCATCCACAAGACGAAGTGCGCAGAAAAAAAAAAACATTAAAAAACACAAACAAAAAGAAAATAGAAGTAAATAGAAAAACCCATTTCCATTATACAATGCCACATTTCTCTTTTCCGGTTTATACCGTTTAGATCGATTGCATTTTATAGTTTGTTTTAATGTTGCCTGTTGTTGGCCTCGCAGGACGCAGGACGCAGGACGCAATAGCTGCGGGTGTAACTGGCGTTGGAGTAGAGACTGAAGATGGGCAACTGTCTCCGGTACAGGCATTTATTTTAGCTGGTTGCAACAGCTTCCTTTTGCCCCGGAAGCGCTACAAATTGTCTGCTTGAAGTTCTCAAAAAAAAAAAGAATAATTTTATTGCTTCCTTTTCATTTAAATGGAATATAACATCCGTTTGTGGCTCATACAATGCGCCATTGTCCCGGCCTCTGCACCTTCCACTGTCCCAGCTTCAAAAAATTTTAAGTGTTCTATTTTCACTTTTGCTACAATTCAATTAGGCATTCGCCTTTGTGCGTTAACCAGAACCTGAAAAGTCAAAAGTGAACACATTTTCCCCCGCCAATCTCGGTATGTGCTGTCCCTTTCATGGGGTCAGTTGTTAGTGGATTGGAATGAAAATGGGGTCTGCCTCCACTGTACATGTGTGTAATATGTGTATGTAAAAGGACTCAGAGCACTTTATATAAGCACAAATAAAATTGGGAAGTTTTATAGATTGCTTTTAAGCGATAAGCTGTAAAAAGTATTCGACTTTGATATTACTTTAACAACTGCAATGTGGAGTTGATAAGAAAAATTTGTGTTAGAATTGCAGAGCTACTTTATTTTCTGGGATTTATAACAAAAGAGTAGAATATCTTCGGCACGCCAAGAATGCATATATGTGAGCATTATAATGCTCGTAAATTATCAGTTTGTTGAGAATATATTGGACAACAAAATATTTTGCCATACTATGTATTGCTATAATGAATGCCGAGTTTTATCAAGGTATCTTGAGACACATAAAAATTGTCCATACATGAATCTACTTTTCGCCTGATCGACAAATACATTTTTTTTATCAATTTACTTAATATTTCTATATACACATTTGTAGAGATATATGCACTATATGTTTTCTATTTCATGATTGAAATTTCATTTAAATAAATCAATTAATTAGGCATTCATAAAGAAATGAGTTGACAAACGGGGCTTATCACATGCCCACCTTTAAGCCATAATCCTTCAAAATAATGAACATTCAAATTACACCTAGAAATGGCTCATTTGTCTCAATTTCTCACCCACACACACACACACACGCAAATATATATTCACAGCGGAATCGAATTTTCGCAGCAATTAATCAAATTAAACAAGGGCAACCGGGGAGAGGCAAGCGAAAGGTTAACCTTTAACAAAGTTAATTGAAAATTTTGTGGTTGTACTTTTGAAAAGGTCTATGGACGGGGGTGTGTGGGCTCTTTGTGTCCATTCTGCAGCTGCAAAAATATATATATATTTGGATGCATGCTCCTTAAAACTGGTTAATGCTCAGAGTGCAACAGCATAGACGGATCAGAAACAGGATCAGGATTCACGCACAGCGTCAGAACAATTACGCAGACGATTAGGCACGCCGCTAAAATCCAATAAACCCTACACACCCCCGCACCTACAGCTCTATGCTCCTCTGTAGTTGCGTTTTCCTTTTGCCGGGATCTGCCAGCTTTTATCAGCTGTGAAACAGTTGCCATTGAAATGGTGCAGAAGTCGTTAGATAGATGGGCAGCAAGGCAAGCGAAAAACCACGCGAAGGATATAGGAGTCGCAACCAACGCCACATCGTCCTTAAGCCCAATCCCCTTGTTCGTATTGCTGCTCGTTCCCGCTGTCGTTTAAAGAAAAAACATTGCGAAAATTGCTTTACAATTGATTAAACACGGAACAAACGCACGGCACGTTTAAATTTGGGTTAAATAGATTATATGAACTGGAAGTGTTATGAAATGATGTGGTCTGCTAGCTCGACGAGTACGCCTCGCCGTCTCGGTTCCTCGAGTCCTCGTCTGCTCCGTTGCTTTGTTTTCCTTTTATCTCAATTCGCTTTTGGCGTACTCTGCTCCTCCAGTCGACTAGCTCCAGCCTGGTGGCGGCGCCTTTTCACGCTCCAAGTGTGGCAGTTAATGGATTTCCTAGATGTTAACCACAGTTAGGGATTCGGATTTTGTTCTTATTTCATTTGCTTTTTTTTTTTATTGTTTATTGTTTTTCTTTTGGCGATGGTCATTTGATACACTTACGTGAGGCAGGACATCATTCGGTTTGACCTTGAACGGATAATCGATTAGGGAATGCTCAAGCGA